TTTATTTGTATAGATTAATCGTCATTAATCAATGAATTCAATACACAACATGTACAGTGAAATATTCATCGGATTATTTAAACTTAACATGTCTGGAATATCTCATTAACAACTGCATCTCGATTCTTATTTATACAGGGTGACTGGTGAATTACTATCAATATTTAAGGAGCATACTCGGTACATGATTCTCATTCGAATTATGTAAAAAAAATAGGCACTTAATTTTTGACAAAATTTCCGTATAAATAAATAAAGTGTGTACACGTTCCAAGTGTTCCAAGTGTGGACGCGTGCGGCGGCGTTACAACAACACGCCGCCGCGCGCGAGTGTGTGTGTGTGTGTGTATACCTAATCTGTAGGGTGTTCATACGATGACTTTTGGTTAACTTTTGTATAAATGATCCAACCTCACCAGTCACCCTGTATAGATGGCCCGAACATGAATGTGTTCACGCAATTGTTGAACATAACAATATAATACGTATGATAACATATAAGTCTTTATATTTTGAAAGTTCCTATCGGTGTCATTGTTATTGAGTTAACATACTGACAAATACTTTGTATATCTTCTGCTTCTTCTACGAGCAAACTTTAGCACTTTGCCTTACATGTTGTGAATAGTTTTGGCTAATTGCTTTTTTGACATCAACCCTCTTTGGGAATGCATTAATCAGTGATGTCTAAATCCTCTTAGAAAGTATGTAAATTACCCTGGCCAGTATGTAAATTTCTTCTTTTTCTCAATATATTTGGAAATAAAGAAAATATAAAATATAGGTTTATATATTTTTATGTCGTTTCAAAAGAAACCAAGTGTTGCAGATCCGGGGAGCCAGTAAAAAGTGTGTCAGTGAATTGTTTCATCCATATTATATATATAAGAAAATTATGTATAATGGTTTTGCGGTCCGTCCGCGGTTTATGCTCCTATTTCTCCAGTACTACTTACAACTTTCTCCCATATAGAAAGTCTTTCGTAAAGACAATTAATTAACAAACTACATTTAAAATAATTAGGTATAATTTTGAACGTTATATTTTATATTAATATCAATTTTTTATCAATGGTGGCATAGTAGTTAAAAGGCCCGCCTCTCATGCATGAGGGCGCGGGTTCGATCCTGGCAAGTACCAATGTGATTTTTCCTACTTATATATACTTTCTAAGAATATTTAGACATCAATGATTAATGCATTCCCAAAGAGGGTTGATGTCAGCAGGCGGCCGGTCGTAAAAACAATAAGCCAAAAATATTCACAACATGTAAGGCAGACCCTGGCTAACGCTGACAAATTGCCAGGTAGAAGAAGAAGATTAATATCAGATTTCAGTATTATTCAGAGATATATCTCTCAGATTGCGGATGCTGTAAACACTTACACATTTTCCCCCAGATTTCCCTCGAGGCTAAGAATTGCTGATTCAGAATTGCTTCTACCCTAATAGTTACATTATGACAACGTGATTTTCATTAAAAACATATATTTTTCAGATAAATGAAGAATTATATAAGAGTTCTAGTTATTATTGTTATATGTAATTATGTATATATTTCATAAATCAAAAATCAATACTATATTTTCGGATGTTTAGCGCGTTACAAATAAAATAAAGGAAATATTCAACCACAAAACACACACACACACACACACACACACACACACACATATATATATATATATATATATATATATCCTATACGATATTATATGTAATATATGTATATATAATATCTACTATGTCAAAGTAAAAGTAAACTGAATCCTATCCTCTTAAGTCAGCCTCGTGTCACTTCCACGTTCCCGACCTCCAATATCCGGTCAATGAACTCAGAAACAATGAATATTATGCATTTCAATATAAAGAAAATCTTTTTATTATTATTTTTATGTATGAGTATATAAGTAAATAAAAGTCATATAAAAATAGTCATAGCGTAATATTTGTATGGATTTCCTATGCCATAATAGATTTTAATCATAGTTGAACTATGTACAATAAAGATTTCTATTTCCTACAAAGGAAGCTACTTCACCTAGTGTGCTCTTCCGTCTATACTGCGTCTCAACGAATGTCCTCGATGTAGGACAAATTACTTTGAGACTAGACCGGCTTTTTCATACTACATTCATTACTAGATACTTCTGGCTGGAGTTGAATTGAATTTAAGTATTGGATTAAAGGAGAAATTCTATTTTATTCATAGTAATGATACATAGTTATCTTAATATATAAAGACCGCTTCTTACATACTAGTTCTTGAGTACTTTAACATGTACTATTTTAATAACTTTTATGAAGAGATTTAACCATCGACCTGAAGACTAATCTGTAATTACGACAGTTAAAAAGTGGATTAAGTTATATATATGGTTCATTTTCACTTGCTACATAACCAATTAAGTGATATTAGGTCTGAACAAGTTCAAGGATAGATATATGTACCATCAAATAAAATGCTATTATTATATATTTCATAGGAATACAATACATATATTTAGTGGGTCGAACACATTAGATAATTAAACAGGACTCCGCGACCGACTCGGCACGCGTTACATCACATGCAATTAATGGGAGTGTATAATACTATATATGTATGTATTACAATTTAAAACAAATGTTACCTTAGTACTAGTTTTCAACGGCAAACTATTCACGGATCGTGTACTCGTTTGAGTTAAGACGTGTTTTCGGAAATGATTCACGTATTTAACAAAAAAGTCATAATTTTTTTTTACATCATAGTTCTTCTTTCAAAAAAGCAACAAATTTAAAACCATAATCCATATTGTATAAAATCTTTTAAAGTCGCTATCAAAATAATTTGTTTTTCTTTCTATCAATATTTTATATGTATAGTATAAATTATAGAGTTACGGTGTTATTTTTTGTGAAAATGCGTGATTGAAAAACCTGTTATCTTTTATTAACGAGGGTAGAATATCATGAAAGTGAGATAAGACACGCTTCAGTATCGAGTGTTGTTGAAACTCAAATATATTTATATATGAGTATGAAGCGTTTTTCCTCTAAGCGACTTCATATAACTACGAAACTCCGAATTTGACAGTAATTTTCATCATCAGCCTATCAGAGCCCACTGCTGAGCAAAGGCCTCTTTCTCATATGGAGAAGGTTTGAGCATTAATCACCACGCTTGCTCAAGACGGGTTGGCGATTACAAACTTATAATTGTGAAACTATAAGTCCAGGTTTCCTCACGATGTTTTCCTTCACCGTATGTCAGTGATGTCTAAATACTCTCAGTAATTTATAATTTTATTTTTTTATTTTGATCAAATACAAATCGTTTTTATAACCAAAGAAATTCAAATTTGCCGTCGGATATTAATAAATTCGGAAGCAATTACGAACTTAGTAGGAACAAAAGAGTAGTAATTCCTACCTGAGAATCTAACATCAAATAGTGTCTCCCCAACAGAGTTGTGAATTCATGAAACACTTGAATCCGAGCATCCTCGAGCGTCTTGATAGTTTTTAGAAGATTTGTTCTGTTGTAGCGAGCACGAGTGCCCTTAGGAATAGAGGGTGGCATGGTGAAGGTATTAATAAGAGGGACATACTTGGACACTACGTATATAAAAATCACATCATATTTATAGAAGCCTAACGTAATTAAAAATAGGTATACTGAAAACAATATAACCCGAATGTAAGCATGAATAGAATAGATAAATATCACAATAAAATTTTATGTTCACGACCCGTATGGACGTTGAAAAAATGTTACACATGACAATTTACATAATCATTATTAACATTAATATACGTAATTGTTATAATTGTAATTTTTAACATTGAAAATCTACCAAGTTGATAATTTATGAAAAAAAAATCATCTCGTGTTGCATATCATAAAATCGAGCTAAGAATTTAAGTATGACAAAAAATATATTTAATATGTAGAAGAAGTGCTGCATCAGCTTCTATGATGTGATCATCTTACTATAAATGTACCAGATTGTTTTACATTAAATACGTGTTAAAACACGAACAACACTCCGCGGTCTCTCTGTGATGTACTGACTCAGTGACTGACTCAACTTGTCCGATATTATTATTAGGTCATTCATAATGTATCATTTTAGTTATAAATTATTTGTTTATCAGATGATCGTCTCAGCTTTTGATGACATCAGGAGTTTTATTAAAAATGCTTTATCGGAAAACGCATCTGTTTAAGATTTTACAAATTACATGATTCATTATTATTTATACAATAATGTTTATATATGGAGAAAATGTTGTAATTACAATTTTTATAACTCAAGAACGGTTTTTGATATATGGTAGTAAGTTGGTGGGGAAATAGCTTAAAACCAGGAGAAGGACATAGGATATTTAATTCTGTCAGATAAAACGAATAAAAACAATAAATTCAAATATGTGATCATTTAAGTCCTCTAGGGTGGAATAGAGTTAGCCATGCATATATTCCTAATACCGAAATTAAAGCTGATGAACGAAAAACATTTTTTATATACATATAATTGTTTGTCATTTTGTTAACCAAAATGTTGACTAATTATTCATGAATAAAATGATATTAAAATTGATTATAAGTGTAAGACATTTTAAATATTATTAAATCAATAGAAAATTATCAAACATGAATAATATGATGAGAAAAATAAAATGTACATTTAAATTGTTTGCGGTTGACAATTACGTACTTAGTGATTACATTCACATCTCTTACGTATATTATGAATTAATTAATTTTCATTTCATATTATACATTTTTCTCGACTTTCCAGTACCCGTAATCACGGATATACGACATGAAAAATTATGAAGTACAACCATAAATAATTTATAAAATGTGTACTCTTGAAAAGTACTAGAATTCATATAAATACATATATTAGGTCAATATTAATCACAATCGTATATCCAATCGATGCTTATATACGTACCTACTTATATACCTTATAACGAGTTTATTAACCTGTTCTCTTCATTCAACAGGTACAGATGGATCAAGAACGGCAAGCCGTTCGAGTATACGAGCTACGATAACAGAATATCCCAGCAGCCTGGACGAGGCACGCTGGTGGTCAGTCAGCCGAGGAATGAGGACTTGGGACAGTACCAGTGCTTCGCCTACAACGAGTGGGGCACGGCCACATCAAACTCGGTGTTCGTGAGGAAGGCGGAGTTGAACTCCTTCAAGGAGACAGATGGACCTCAGAAAACCATCACGGCCCAGGAAGGCCTACCTTTCAAACTAACCTGCGAACCACCGGACGGCCATCCCAGCCCCAACGTATACTGGATGTTACAAGGAGAACAAGGCCAGCTGAAGACCATCAACAACTCCCGAATGACCTTAGACCCCGAGGGCAACCTCTGGTTCTCAAACGTGACGAGGTTCGACGCGAGTGTGGACTACGCATACACGTGCGCCGCTAAATCAGTGTTCAGGAACGAGTACAAGCTCGGTAATAAAGTGTACTTGCAAGTTCAGCAGACTGGAATCTCACCGACGTCGAACAAACACCAGCCCGTGCTGCAGTACGCGACCAGGAGGGTCGAGAAGGCTTGGAGAGGGAAGAAGGTGGAGCTGTACTGTATATACGGCGGGACGTGAGTACTCTACAGTCTACACGAGAATGATTACAGTAAAACGTTTAATAGGGACTAACATACCGGCGCGTGTTTAAGTTACAAGTGATAGCTTACAATAGTCCTTCATAAAGAGCTCGCTCTCAGCCGGGACGCGCCGTTCCATTTTATTTCTAAAGAATCGTAATACTTCCATTGTGAGGAGAGGATCTCTTTATGGTTTTAAAGTGAAACAAGGCTAATGGCTTGATATTCTCTAGTGTTTTTGGCTTCATAAAGGGAGTTATCTGCCAAATGGGTCGAGTTGGGTCGCTCGTGAATTAGCAATGCAGATGTCCATAATGAATCAGGCTACATGCGTCAGGATTTCATTTTATATGTTAATTAGTCACATGTCCTCTGAACTTCCCGCTATCTGGAGCACGTCCGTACTATGATGTATGGACTATTGTTTCTATTATCGTATTTCTATTTTTAAAACCTCTGAGGTTACGGCGGTTTGTTGGTTTTATTAGTTTATATTAATGTATTTTTATTTGTGTTCTTTTAATTCTTCTAATATTAAACCCCCCAGTCGCCCCTAATCTATTGATATTCCTCCCCTCCATCAGAGCGTGAGGCTTAGTATTGTTATTAAGTGTACAATCATTTTAAATCCTGATTCGATTTAATTTCTCAACGGTTCATTATGTAATCACTATAAAGCCGTAAGTCAGCTGGCGTCCCCCTTAATCCCATCGGATTTGTACCAGGAGCAAATTAAATCCTATAGGGATATTTATTAAAATGGAACCAAAAATCAATACTCTATACACTTACCAGGAGTTTGCATAGACTATGAAATGAAAGTTTTTCTTTAGCAAACTTAATTTGATTCTATACTATCGTAAACAATTTCTTTATTTAGTTTGACAAGAGTCTTCTTGTAAGGTTATTTTTGAGTGACATATATTGAAAAATATAGGCCGCTACCTCAAGTGGTGTGGAAGAAAGAGGGTCGAACGATAATATCCTCTCAGCGGATAACTCAAGACAACTACGGCAAGACGCTGGTCATCAAACGTGCGGGCTACGAAGACCAGGGGACGTATACCTGCGAAGTCAGCAATGGAGTGGGAACAGCAGAGACTTACTCCATACAACTCAACGTTGAAGGTAACTTAATCGAATAAACTGATAGTAAGCTCGTGATAGCGCATATTAAGTTTATAGTGATGACGTCAGCGAACGAATAGTAAGTTTATGATAGGAAGTAATTAAGATTTAGAGAATGATGACGTCATTGTTCGCAATATTTAATATAACATTTAATAGTTATTTTGGATAGTAACGTAACGTGAAAAAAATACAGCATGAAAAGTTTAAACTATTGATTGAATTAATGAATGAATTACAAATAATTTTTCAAAGTTCAATTTAATGAACACTTGACCGTTGACTTTAAAAATATGTCTTTAAATTATATCTTCATTTTACATAGTTATTAAAAATTTGTAATCCTTGAAGTCTTATTTGATAGTTAGTCTGATTTGATAATATTCCAAGTAACGCAGACAAAGCTGCGGGCATCGGCTACTATATAGTAATATTAATGAAATGACCGTCTGATAGATTGTGATTCATTGATTCAATAATCCAGTGTTTGTTGGAAACGGAAACAAATAGATATGGGCGGATACTGTATGAGTGGCCTTCATCATATACATATTATAGATACTCAATATATGGATTATGATAAGAATGGAATATACTGATACTATTAAGATGAGAAGCATTTCATGGTTTTTGCATGCACTCATCTCGGGAAATTGTGTACAGTTTAGAAAAAACTCCAATTACTAGGTAGATGCGGATAGGGGTAGTATCAATGTAAATAGGAAAACTAAGGAAAATACTGTCTTTTGAAAGAAAATTTGTGTAAAATTTTTTTTGGCAAGCATTTCTATGAACATTTCTATGTATAAAGCTAAGCAAAATAATTATGTTGTTAGACTTAGTTTTCAATTTTTTTACATGTTCTGATAATATAGCCATTTACCTAAAATAGCTCCTATATACTAACAATTTTTAATATCTAAACGAACGAAGTCTAGTGAAAAGCCATAAATTTAACATAACGGTTCGTTAAATCACATTTTTCTGTCTCAAACGCTCGAATCAAAAGTAATTTATCATCTCAGACTATATTCATGTTTATGAAAACGTTTAAAAGCCATAGCTTTAGTAAACGTGTCCACGGAAGCCTAAACGAGTGCCCTTACCTTCCTCGCCTCAACTGCCGGCTCAGCCGTGTGAGTTCGAGCGTCATTACCGCTCCGACTATTTATACATTACAATACACGTCTGGAGAATTTTACTATGGTTCTGACTTATATCTGCGCTACAGAGACAGTTTTTGCAGCATATTTTCCATTGTCTGCAGTCTTTTGAACGTGGTGTAACTTTTTGACTTGTTCTTGGAGTTTTTTGGAGCTTTGATTTCAAGGGATAGCGATTTAATATATAAAGTCACTGTTAGAGTTACACTGTTTATAACTCAAGAACGGTTGTATTTATTTGGTTGAAAATTTTTGGCGTGCTAGCTAAGAACTTTAGGACATTAGAACCTTAGTTTTCATCCCTTTCGATTGAAAAAAAACCTGTATAAAGTCCAAATTCTGCTTATTTACTGCCTCTGAGACGGTACAGAGCCCGCCCGGTCATATAAATATTTTTTTTTATAAACGACTTCGAAAGCATTAAGAAATTAAGAACTTTACAGATTAATTGACAGTAGTTGGTTCAATTAAGCTTATGATATTAAATGAGATGAAATAAATAGTATACAGAGTGTAGGTCTAGTAACATTTTTTTGATTGTTCCATTTAAACATCGTAAAACGTCCGGCCCACGTATTATAGTAACAGGGAGGAAGCACGTCACTAATACGACCAATTTAAGGAGCGTTGTCCTTACAAGGTACGGCCGTTTAGTACAAAAGAACGCGCTACTGTTTTAGTAGCTAACATCGGACGTGCAAACATACAATGGACTACCGCTTTGAAACGTGTCATGCTCTAATAATAATAATCTGTTTTGTATTTTACGAAAGTTATTACGTAGGACGGAAGTTTAAATTAATTAGATTTAATTCAATAATAACTAATGTACATTCATTTGAGACGATCTCAGAATGCGATCCGTTTAAACGACTAACATGAGGCGCCGGGCCGGGGTAATTGTGTCACGCGAACAACTCAGAATAATATGGGATTAAAGGACTCGGGACACGATACATAAATACACTTCAATGAAACGATGACGACGGTACTAATGTACTAGTCAAAGAACATATTCTCTAGTAAAATTTACGATGGGCATACATAAACTTAATAAATGTCTAATCATTAAGAGCTTTAATATCAAAACATCCCAAAAAAGCGGCTATCAAATAATAATTCCCAAAGTAAACTCGGTAATCTGTACGTTACTAGCGACTGCGTGTTCGAGTGCTATACATTTAAAAGAGTGTAATAATGTGTAAAAACTTGGGGGAGTTCTAATTAACGTGAAAATCTTAGTGTTGTGTCAGTTTCGTTAGTAAGGCGAGGCACGCGAAGTAACATGATGTGAACACTTTACACTACAAAGGGAGAGTATTTTATAGAGACGTACGAACAAATATAAGGGGTGATACGAAAAAAGCTGCGGTAATGTAACGTGAATTACCTCACCCCATATAAAGACTGCCACCCTCGCCCTCATACAACATATTTCTTATTTCGATGTGTGAAAAAAAATCGTATGTCACGATAAGTATGGGGTATGTTGGTAATGTATTTATATGATTATAATTTATGGCAATTAATCAAAGTAATCTAATATTATCCAACGAGAAAATATTATTGTTATATTGTTAGAAAAGAAAACACGTTATAATAAAAAAAAAAAAGGTCGCGGGCTAAAAGCCGACTTATTGATATTCAAGACTAATTTCACAGTTTATAAGTTTTAAGCATTATTTTATGCAAATAATTAGGGCAGAGTTTCCGCACTAGATAATAGTTGAGAACAAAAGTGTCAGATTGTCACTAATAGCTCCTTATATAGGTAGCTTGAGAGTTGGTAGTTTAATAATTAATTTATTATCATTTATCAATATAATATAACCTTCTCCATGTAAAAGGCCTTTGCTCAGCAGTTGGCTCTGATAGGCCGATGACGAATATATGTTATCTAATGTGTATTATTTGTAACAGCGGCTCCATTCTTCATCGAGGAGCCCCAGTTCCAGAACCTGGCAGAAGGCGAGACAGCGGTCATCCAGTGTAAGGCAGGCGGTACTCCCGAGCCGACTATCTCATGGGTTCACAACGGAAAGCCCATAGAACAAGCGGAGAATAACCCTCGCAGACAAGTGACAGCAAACAGCATCACTATCACTGACTTGGTGAAGAAAGACACCGGCAACTACGGCTGTAACGCGACCAACTCAAACGGATACGTGTACAAAGACGTGTTCATTAACGTGCAGTGTGAGTATACATTAACTAGAGCGCGGGTTCGAATCCTGCTCGCCTAAAAAAAATCCGGTCAATAGTCAAAATAACAGTAGAAACTGTTTTGGCAATTGTTTTTATCCTACCGAAGTTATTTATTGTAATATAAGCTGTATATTTTCCTGTAAATAAATAAATAGCTTCTTTAAGTATTTGATATCGATTATTAAATCAATATTGCTTTAATGTAAAGAACAGATATTATTGAATTTGAGCTTAAGGTCTCTTCATAGTAATGTACACACACTATGTCACAGTGTATGTTCACATATCGAACAATTAACAAAGATTGTATCAAAGTGAGGACATATCCATTAAAACAATTATATATTAGACAACAGTACCGTCGTAATAGCTTAATCTGTACGGACATTGAGTTATTCAGGAGCAGGTAGTGGGCGACCGCGGATGTGTTTAGAGAATCATAAACTGTTGTATCCTATAGGCCTACACCAGGTATATACGAGATACTCACATTATGTAATTTGGATTATATGACACACTATAGTTATCCCTACTAATATCATAAATGCGAAAGTAACTCTCTCTGTCTGTCTGTCTGTCTGTTACTTTCACGCTTAAACCACTGAACTGATTTTAATGAAATTTGGTACAGATATAGAGTTGACCTTGAGAAAGAACATAGGATAGTTTTTATCACAGACATTTGAAAGGTTCTCTTGACCGATAACCGAACTCAACGCGGGCGAAGCTGCGGGCGGAAAGCTAGTATCCCATATATTATAGATTTATCCTTTTCTTGTAACGATTTCTTTTCCTTAATCATAAATCTATAATAGTCTATTGTATGAAACCCACAATGAAAAAGTTGGTTAGGTAATATCCCTAGATATTATTAACCGTATTTTACTATAGAAAAAAGTTCTTCTATGTGTATCAGATGTATCAATCGATATCAGTCGTGTGGGGTCACTGAACTCTACAAAAAACGTTCCGCACCCCGTGATGTTTGTTTTTTTGGGGATGATTCATTCCTATCGTTTGATTTGCTATATTGCAGCTGGTATACTATAGTGGAACGTCGCTATGTTTTTTTATACCACAGTAGTTTCACAACAGCAAAAAATAACAATAAAAACTATTTTATTGTATCAAACGCAATACTCTAGGGGAATATTTATTACATAAAGAATCTTATAAAGTATGTGAACCAATTATATGTAATGTATTTGAGAGTTGAAAGGATTAGCTATCGAGTGAGTTATGATTATTGGGATCAGGTTGTTAACATAAGAGTAAGATTTCTATAAAGTTATTATATTTCTATAAGAACGAAAACCAAACCGTTTTACAATTTGACATAGCAGTTCCGAGTGATGTACAATGTTGCCAGTGTACAGTTTTATCTTAATACTATTTAATATAATAATATTTATAATCTAATAATAATGAAGATAAGTTCTAATTCCAAAGTCAAAGTCAGTATAAGTAAATATATCGTGTGTATGTTCCCAACAGCCATTCCTCCCGAGATCAAAGAGGGTCCGGATAACTTGACGGTGGTTGCGGGCTCCACGGCAGCTTTAAGATGTAGAGTGTTCGGAGCACCACGACCCATCGTACGGTGGATGAGGGACGACATCGACGTCACTGGCGGGAAGTACGTACACACGCACACACACACACACACACACACACACACACACACATACATACATACATACATACACACGCACGCGATACATCAACATAGCACAATCGACCTATTAACGTCTTAAGCGCCAAAATAACCATCAATGTATTTTATGGTGAAGTTATTATTATATCCTGTCAAATTGTTTTCGATTATCTATTGCATGTCGCATTACAGCTAATGAAAGGGAAAGAATTATTAATATTCGTCTATCATGAGAATTGTTGTAAATGTAATTTTTTTTATTACCTATAAACAAATTTAAGTTTAAAATGGATACAAGCAATCAAGTAACATCCGAAGTTCATCAGTTTAATATCTAAAACGCGAAAAGTATTACAATTGCACCGTGGCTTCGTATAACCATACTACATAATATTTACTAAGTATGTACACACACATGCTTATAAACAGACTCTTATACACACACAAATAAACCTCCGTGTCCCAATCCGCCTGTTGCTTGATGTCACAATAACCTTCAACACAACATAACACATTAACTTCAAATATATTTATTATTGAGTGAAAATGTAATATTCCGTCATTATAATTACAACATGGCCCGCCAGTAACGTGTATATTTATATTCATTGAGTCATTAAATCTCCGCCCACGCTCAGGTCTAAATTAACATGTCTGTATCATTTGAGATAGACCATTCGGCACAGGATATTCCTGGATGAAGGAAATTAAGGAAAATTATTTGAATATAAACGTATATTTAATCATAATTATGTTTAACTCTCGTATAATTCATTTGTTAAAATGTTTTGAACTCTGTTTTTATTCTTATTTCATGTTAACCTTATGAGACCTAAGACTTTTTCGAGTATTCATTCAAATGAAACTAATATTATTCGGATTACTATTTGGATTTGCTTATCTATACTAATATTATAAAGCTGAAGAGTTTGTTTGTTTGTTTGTTTGTTTGTTTAAAAGCGCTAATCTCCGAAACTACTGGTTCGAATTGAATAATTATTTTTGTGTTGGATAGTCCAGTTATCGAGGAAGGCTGTAGGCTATATAACATCACGCTACGACCAATAGGAGCAAAGATATAGTGGTAAATGTGTAAAAAACGGGAGAAATTATTTCATCTTTGAAGCCTTCCGTTGCGTGCGCCGTGAAAACGGTTCAAGATACACAAAAAATATGTATTAAAGAATAATAGCTCTTTTAATGATCTAAAAAACAGTCCACGATAGTATATGTCTATCTTTTAAGATTAACTCACAAAAACCATTTTTATATCTAATTTGGTCGAAATAATTTGTTTAAGTTGTATCAACATAATAATATTAATCTTTATTCAAATAAACAAATAAATATGTTGTTGGTTAAGAGTAATTCATTGTGAATTAAAAAAAACATAGGTTTTATCTCGAAAATTCTACGGGAACTCGACCATTCCGAAAACCCCGCAAGAACGGGAACTATGTGGGAAGAACCAAAAATCTGCCGGAAGTCACTATTCCACGCGGACGTAGTCGCGGCAAAAGCTAGTTATTTTATAAAACTCATGCTCCCGACGTTTCGGTCATCTTAACCTTAATATGTTTCGTACTTAATTTTTGATTATAAAGATTATTTTGTATTTAAAATTTAAAACAACATCAAATTTCTTCATATGCCTTTTTAAATAGTAATAAGTTTGAGAAAAGTACATACTCTCATTATATTTATTTCGAGATTATTATTTGTATGTGTAATATTAATATGTTGCTCAGATACAACATAACGAAGGAGGGTGACCTGGTGATAGCGGATGTCTCCTTCACTGACGTCGGCACCTACCAGTGTTACGCCAAGAACAAGTTCGGAGAGAAGTCCGCCTTCGGGTCGCTCACTGTTAAGAGTTAGTAATAATAATCTACTTATTAAAATATACCTTAACATACAACAACCTTCATTCCTAATCTTACATATTAAATTTTCATGTCACAATGTTCGTTCCCGTATTCCTCCGAAGCAGCTTGACCAATTATCATGAAATTTTGTGAGCATATTAAATAAGTCTGAGAATCGGCCAACATCTTTTTTTCAAACCCCTAAGTGATAAGGGTTGCTCACCCTTAATAATTTTGTTTTTGGCAATGTGGCATTATAAATTCATACAACTCTACATTATTATTTTTTTATCACCAACCCCTATTTTTTATACGGCAAAACAACGATTACGGGTCAGCTAGTATACTATAATATCTTATTCTAGAACGCACTGTGATAACCGACAAGCCCGAGCCGTACGAAGTAGCGGCGGGGTCATCGGCCACGTTCAGATGTAACGCGAACGCGGACGACTCCCTCAAGCTGGACATCATCTGGCTGAACGACGGCCAGCCGATAGACCTGGACAACCAGCCGCGCTTCAGGATCACCAACGACTACTCGCTGCTCATCTCGGACACCAGCGAGCTGGACTCGGGCGAGTACACCTGCATCGCGAGGACCGACATCGACGAGGCGCGCGCGCAGGCCACGCTCACTGTACAGGGTGAGGAACTGTTGAACAATAGATTATATTAATGGTTAACCCTTTTTTAAGATATTTTTACCACCATGATTTTATTTTATTTTAAACCGAAATTTCGTCCACTGGTCGTATAATTTTATTCAGACAACTTTTTTGATTGTCTATAGACAGTTTGACAATGAAAGATTTGAAAAATATATATTTTCATATATACATATGTTTTTACTTCTATTATATACCCTTAACCAACATCAATTTTGTTTTTACACTCCTTATGACCGTTAAAGGGTTAAGACTCTAAAATAAGTCTTTTGTAACAAGTAGATTAAACAAGTACATTAATGAATGAGTATACTTGAACGTTTCTATTACTAACTTTAATAAGAATATTATTATATAGAAGTTCTCGATAGTATAGTTAATAGCTACACATTATGATAAAAATTGTTGTCACATAGACGTCCCTATCAAGTATATACAGGGTGACTGGTGAATTACTATCAATATTTAAGGAGAATACTCGGTACATGATTCTCATTCGAATTATGTAAAAAAATAGGTACTTAATTTTTGACCAAATTTCCGTATAAATAAATAAAGTGTGGACACGTTCCAAATGTTCCAAGTGTGGACGCGTGCGGCGGCGTGCTGATACAATACCACGCTGCCGCATGCGTGTGTGTGTGTGTGTGTGTGAGTATACCTAATCTGTAGGGTGTTCACACGATGCGTAATTAATTACATAACTTTTGGTTAACTTTACTTAGAAGTTTATTAATATTTATGTTATATTAATTTTTATTTTGTCATATATGATCGTCAAATATCCCGTCCTCAAGTATTGATAGTAATTCACCAGTCACCCTGTATAGTACTATCGATGTTGTTCAAACTTTATCTTGAACCTTTTTCATTGATAAGTCTTATGAGCACCTATTTTTTTGTAACACATAAATGTTAATAATGTATTCTTGTTCCAGATAAGCCGAACCCCCCCGCCCTAGAGGGCATCGAGTGTCACGAGCGCACGGCGACGCTCCGCTGGCACTCGATGGGTGACAACCGCGCGCCCATACTGCGGTACTCGATCCAGTACAACACGAGCTTCACGCCGCACGCCTGGGACCTCGCCTCCGACAACGTGCCCGCCATCGACACCTCCTGGACCGTGCAGCTCAGCCCCTGGGCCAACTACACCTTCAGGTGAACATATAAATACCGTATACATACCATACAGGCAATAATATATATATTTTATTGCCTGTATGGTATGTATATGGCCTTAAACCTTATTAGTTTATGTTTGCTCTAGCTTAAGTTTTTAATACAGCTGCGTGCAAAAGTATTAGGCACCCCTATTGTTAGTAACTATCTCATTAGATAGCGGTCAAGTGTGTGTTTTATGGTTTAGCTATTGTATTAGCGGCAATTTTTAACCAAATTAAGATAAAAGAAAATATTTATGACATCCAGGTGTGCTCCTAAGCGGTGTTTCTTCGAATTTGCTTTTTTTGCGTTTCGGGTTATAGTGTGTTATCAGTGCTTGCAGTGAACATACACGTCTTCTACGCAACTATTCCTATCACAATTCTAAAGACTAACATTTAACGTGTTAATCATGCCGAAAAAATCTGAACTTAGTGCTGAACAGCGTCTAAGAATTAAGATTTTACATGAACAAGGCATGTCTCAGGTTAAAATAGCCCAAGAAGTGAAGTGCTCGCGATGTGCAGTTCAATATGCTATAAATCGCTTCAAAGAGACTGGCACCCATGAAAATAGACCAAGAACAGGCAGAAGAAAAGTTACCACTGAACGGGAAGATCGATTGTTGATTAGGCAGTCTCTACAAAACAGGAAAAAAACTGCTTTAGAGCTCGCTGCAGCAATATCTGAGGCAAAAGGCAGCTCAATGAGTGTTTATACTGTGAGAAGAAGACTTCTTAAAGCTGGATTAAAAGGATGTAAAGCAAGGAAGAAGCCGTGGCTGTCAGAACACAATAAGAAAAATCGGTTGGAGTGGGCACTCAAACATAGAGATTGGTCAGTGGAAGATTGGTCCAACATACTGTGGTCAGACGAATCTAACTTTGAGGTATTGTTATTTATTTTATGTACAATATTAAAACACATAAATGTTTTTAAAATAACGTACTGCAAGAAAAATAATAACTTTGAAAATAAATGTGTTTTTTTCGTTTGGCATAGGTGTTTGGAACACCCGGTGTGACTTATGTTAGGCGAAGGGTTGGCGAAGAATACAACCCAGAATGTGTGGTTCCCACTGTTAAGCATGGTGGAGGCTCAATAATGATCTGGGGCTGCATGGCTGCCGACGGAGTGGGCGAAATGGTGTTGTGTGAGGGACGAATGAATAGTGTTAAATACACTGAAGTTCTGGAAACAGTACTAGCAACGTCGATAACGCAAATTTTCGGTGATACAAACACCGATGGCCTGAAATTTCAGCAAGACAACGCCACTTGCCACAAGTCCGCGCATACCATGAAGTGGTTTGCTGAAAATCATATTGATCTTTTGCACTGGCCACCACAATCACCAGACCTCAACCCGATTGAGCATATTTGGTCCATTTTAAAGAAAAATATCCGCAGGCACTCGATTAGCAATAAACAAGCTCTATTGGCCGCGTTACAGCAGGAATGGAAAAATATATCAAGAGAAGAATGTTTCAGGCTGGTAGAGTCAATGCCAAAAAGAGTGGCTGCGGTTATTAAGTCAAAAGGTGGACCTACAAAATATTAATTATTTTCTTAAAATAAACCATTGTAATCATAAATGCAGTTTTATTTAGACTCGCTACGCTAAAACACCCTAAAACTTGTCTTACTGTAGGGTGCCTAATACTTTTGCCCGTGGCTGTAGTATTTAAGTTTTTAATATTACTTAAGAGTGTATAACTTTGTTTTTAATTTAGCAGTGCTGTAAATGCCTGTAGTGGTGTATGACACTGCATTGGTCTGTGTACTGTTATTACATAAGTGTTATTGTGAATATTCCGATGGTGTTTCAAATAAAATAAGTAAATATACAGAGCTGAACTCAAAGCTTTATGATAGGTTTTCTAAGAAGTCTGGGTAACTAAACTAAGTTTGTTACATCAGGGTGACAGCGTCCAATAAGATCGGCGCCTCGGCTCCGTCGTCTCACTCGGACGTGTGCACCACACAACCTGACGTGCCCTACAAGAACCCGGACAACGTGGAGGGCAAGGGGACCGACCCCACCAACATGGTCATCAGCTGGTCGGTCAGTAACACACACTATATAACTATAATTATAATATAATATATAAAAAGTTAAAGACATTATTTATAGAAGTTTTATGACTCATACTAAACATTATTTTATTAGAAAATGCCTCAAATCGAACACAACGGTCCTGGATTTTACTATCTAGTGTCGTGGAGAAGAAACATCTCAGGGGCGGCGTGGAGCGAGGAACAAGTGCGAGACTGGACCACGACCGAGTACGTCATACCGAACACACCCACCTTCAAACCTTACAAGATTAAGGTAAAACATCTGTTACAAGAGACACTTTATTTTATTTTTTTTTTTTATTTCATTTACGATTCACACAACAGATTATAACTAAATATGCAAATAATTGATGAGTAAACATTATAAATGAGCCGAGTTATAACCCAACAACTATGCGAACACAGATTATATACTAAATATTTCACTTATAAAAAAATACAACAGCATATAAAAATACATAAGAAACCACACTCACAATTAATAGAAAGAGTTTTACACAAAAATATGAACAGGTTAACAGCAATCAAAATATAATGAAAAATAAAATGAAATTATAAACTGGTGAAGTGATTAACTAATGGATAAAAAAAAAATAGATTCAATCACAATTAATTTGGCTATTAACAATTTGGCTATTAAAATTGGCTATTAACTGAAACCAATTGTTTTTTAAATAGATTTAGGTTATTGTTGAAAATGTAGTATCCAACGCGTCGTTTTCAAAAAAAAAACCTTACTGTATATTATATGCGCGACACATACGTCCGATAGGATTATGATATGATATGTTGTTATTGTAAACATCCAGGGTAAATATTCTGGGGTGTTGGAATTTAAAGTTGATGTTTAATATAAATGGAACCTAAAAGCGTTGGTGAATCAACAACACCGTGAATAATTTTGTGCAAATATACTAAGCTATTGCAGTTGCGACGCATTTCTAGTGTTTGCAATCTAAAATGGTTAAGTCTGTCATTGTAGCTTTCGAGTTTACGTCCGTACCGATAGCGAGAACTGAGCAATCGTAAAAACCTTTTCTGTACAGCCTCTACCTTTTCACAGTGAGTGGCGTAGTTAGGTGACCGTATGACCGAGTTATAGCGAACCATGGTACAGTAAAGATGTATGGAAGTTTTAGGGCTCTTAAAACTTTTGGTGCTCCTGCTTATGAATCCACACAATCTGTTTCCCTTGTTAATGATGTAGTCATAATGGTATCTAAAAGAGAGTTTTTCGCCAAATATTACGCCTAGGTCTTTTGCGGTGGATGCGTGAAAGTATTTTTTCGTTTAATGTGTAATCAAAAAGTATTTTTTTCGATCTTTTCAGTGTAAAGCTTATTACAAAGCACTTTTCTGTATTTATGATTATTAGAGCACCATTTAGAAACAGCATCTAAGTCCTTCTGAAGAGATGTAGCGTCGTTAGTGTTGTTAATCGAGGAATACATTTTGAGATCATCAGCGTATAGTAAAAATTGACAAGACAAGTTCTTAGCTAGATCATTAATAAATAATATGAAAAAAATCATTATTGTGACTTATATACTTAATTGCCTCTCCGATATTAAAATTACAGAAGGAAGACGTGAATAATCTACTTGATTTGAATATTAAATTCCAGGTCATTGCTGTCAACTCGAAGGGAACATCAAACGTTGCTCCGGTGGAGGTGATAGGTTGGTCAGGCGAGGACACTCCTCTCCAGGCTCCCTCAAACTTCACTTTGGTACAAGTGACCACCGGCACCACGGCCCTGCTGTCCTGGAACCCGGTCCCGGCCGAGTCCGTGAGGGGACACTTCAAGGGTTACAAGATACAGACCTGGATCGACGGCGAGGAGGACCGGCCCAAGGAGATACTCATCAAGGCAGACGCCTCCAGCACACTGGTCACCAAGTTCAAACCCTTCAAGAAGAACAACGCACGCATACTCGTCTACAACGGGAGGTTCAACGGACCGCCCAGCGAGACACTCAGCTTTAACACACCGGAAGGCAAGCCCGGCACCGTGCGGTCATTCGAGGCGTACCCCATAGGATCTTCAGCCATGCTTCTGAAATGGGACAAACCCATAGACGAGAACGGCATCCTGACCGGCTACAAGATATACTACCAGAAGGTGACCGGCACCGCGCTCGGCCCGCTGCAGGAGAGGAAGAAGGAGATCGATCCCAAGTTCGACCGAGCCAAGCTGGCGGGGCTCGAGCCCAACACCAAGTACAGGATAGAGATACGAGCGAAGACTAAGGCCGGGGAGGGGGACAAGTACTACGTGGAGCAGACAACCAGGGCCGTGGAGACCGCCGTGCCTGATGTACCGGTGTTCGAGACCAGCACGCTGCCTGCTAAGGAAGGGACGGCGCACATACTCGTGAGGTGGATACCTTCACTGGAGGGACACGCGGGGACGCACTTCATCGCCTGGTACAGGCTGAGGGGGCGGCCCGACTGGCTGCAAAGCAACGAGGTGACGGACGACGACTACGTCATACTGACGGGGCTCGAGCCCGGCCAAGAGTACGAGGTGAAGGTGACCGCGCACGACGGAGACTACTACAGCACCAGTGACGTTAAGGTCGTCGACACGACCATCGGTGAGGGAACATACTGATTATATATTTATAAATCTTTAATAATTTGTTTGTTACGTTTACACGGCTGTACGTCACCGTCACATGGAGGCCTCTGAAAATCAGTGCTGGGATATTATTGTGCCAGCTTTAACTGATGGGGTTTTCCATTTTGGATGCCACACCACTTCACAATTTATTTGTATTTTATTTTAGTCTATTTAATTTTTTTTCTAGCATTGTGGTAATGAATCTATTTTTTTTAACAGATGTAAAATATTCTTGTAAGTTAGCTATAAGTTTTTTATTATTATTTTTTTCTTTTTTGTATTTTAATATTTCCCTATTGGTTTTGTAATTTTTTTTACTCATGTTGTGGTGTGATCCAAATAAAGTTTTTATCTATCTATCATATTATATACACACTACGTTGGTGTCGCTTATATGAACGCAACCTGCGTCCGTTACCAATATTTGAGGCTCATTTCTAAATGTCTATCGTCGTGTATGTGCAGACGGGCCGCACGTCCGCCCCCAAGAGGCGACGGCCACAGCGGGCTGGTTCATCGGCGTGATGGTGGCGCTGGCCTTCCTGCTGCTGGTGCTGGTGCTGGTGTGTGTGGCGCGCAGGAACAGGGGCGGCAAGTACGACGTGCACGACCGGGAGCTGGCGCACGGCCGGGCGGACTGCCCCGACGCCGCCTTCCACGAGTACACGCACCCGTGAGTACACGCACACACGGACACACACACAGAGACATAGAGGCAGACCTTACGATGATGGTGGTGAAAAATATCATTAATAAATTATATTTTATTTATTTATTTTTATTAGGGAAACATACAGCATATCATATATTTCGACTTAATATTATAATCATATTTTAACACTTATGCCAGTTAAGTTTTCACTAATGTTTTAACAGGGAAATGGACCAATTTTGACATTACATATATATATATATATATAAGTAAGATTTGATCAAAGTTTATATCAAAGTAATAAAAAAAATATTTTGTGCGAGTCCCCCTCCACGTATAACATGTGAAACTTCGTAATGTTGGAATGACAACAAGGAGGGTTGGAAATAGATTTTTAAGAAAATTCTTTGTGTTTCATGAAAACAAACGTTATTAAAATTACTTAAAATTCACTATTGGTTGCCTGTACGCGTTCGACAGCCACATTCCTCTTCACTCTGTCTTTGTATACAATAATATGAAATATTTAACGCGATCCTTTTGACTGTTTTTTGTGTAAATGTGTGTAATATGTGTACTATTGGTGTTCCTAAGTTAATAAAATAGAGATCCTGTTTGTTGGAAGTCCCAGAAGTTTCACTTTCAATATATAATCTGTTTTGTAGATTGGACAACAAGTCTCGTCATTCAATGAGTAGCGGCACCAAGCCCGGGCCTGAAAGTGATACGGACTCTATGGCTGAGTACGGCGAGGGAGAGACAGGTAACATACATACTACTTACAATCATATACATAACTATATTTATTATTATTAATTTGCATTTTATATTGTTGTTATAACGCATGATGTTTATTTAAAATTATTTTGTATTCTGAAAACATTTCATTTCTATTATAATTTAATTTACTTTTAATTATTTTGCATTCCATAGTGCACGATTTTTTTTTTTTTTATTATTGGCATGTTTTAACGTGTGTCGTTTGGCTGTGTGATAGCGGGCATGAACGAGGACGGGTCCTTCATCGGTCAGTACGGCCGCAAGCGCCGCCCGCCGCCCGGCCAGACAGACTCGGCCTCGCAGGCCTTCGCCACGCTCGTTTAATACCCCCTGCCTTCCTATCCTCCCCACCACACAACACTACGATCTAAGACACTGGTCCAAACACGTAGTGCCATTAAAAAAAGTAATCTCCAACAAGGTCGTATATTTTAAATTCAAAATGTTCGATCTTTGTACCGCTCCCCCATTCGGCCAGGTTGTGTTTTAATGTAATATGTCTAATTATTTATTGTGTGACGGTCGCCGTCTTTACTGCGCTATTTCAAAAATAGTGTAATAAAGAGCAGGTTCCCGTACCGGCGCCGTCTGCTGGTCCGCGGTTAGGTTAGTCTCTAAGTACACGTTAGTAGTAAGAGGTCTAGGTTGTAAAAAGATTATATACAGAGAGTGAGCTCCAGTGAATGTTTCTACTTATTATATAGTTTATTATATATACGGGCACGAGCTTTGCGTTATGTTTTTTTTTGTTGTGCATTTATGTTTAACGTAGTGTAGTGATCCATATTTCCGTCCCTTTGTCTCCCGTAGTCCCGCACGAGCCGCCATTTTGTTTGTATAGTGAGGTATGATTTTGTTCCGCTTGCCTTTTATTTTTTTATTTCATCATTTTACCTTCATATACAACATATAAGTACATTCACATCTATATATGAGACTAATCTCTTCTTGTGTGAACAGGTCGCTTCACGGAGGACGGTTCGTTCATCGGTCAGTACGTGCCGGGAGCGCGCGTGTTGGCTCCTCCCCCTCCCGCGCCCGCGCCCGCCGCCCCGCCCACTTACGTGTAGACCCGCTACGGCCGGCTACGACCAGCTACGACCGGCTACGACGCACGAGCACTCATATTATTTGCGAGCTGTACACCACTATGAGTTACGCGAGGTCGGGGCTCAGCGGTCAGTGGTCGGCGGTCCGTCGAGTTCATCAGGTCGTCTGTTTAGTTTAAATTTATTAGCGAAGGCTTCACCGAGGTCTGCGGCCGGTGTCCGCCGCTAGTGAGTTGTGTTCGCGGTCATGTCGTCGGTTCGGTTTCAGTACATGTTTATTTGAGACTGATTTTATGTAACCGATAGTAGAGCGTGTAATGTAATCTCAATTATTAAAGTTTTAATATGTATCGGAGGGAGTGATGCAGGTGGTCGCATTATAAGGAGATCTATTTTTGTCACGTTTCGATAGTATTGTGTGAGCCGTAGAGGCCGGCGGTCGGGAGGTTCTATATCTATATTTACATTTCTCTAGCGGTAACCTTGCACCGTCACCATTATTTTTGTATCGGATGCATATCTTTCTACATTATAATACTAAACACTCTAGGACCATGAAATATATTTTTTAATACCTTTAATATTATAATCACCGTCTCGGTCACGTTATTCTTCTATTCGTATGTACAGTAGTCGTAGCTGGGCACACTTACCTCTATAAGTTGAGTGACGTCACTCCCTCATCCAGTTCAGTCCGTTCTATATAGATGTCTGTTAGTGTGTGATCCTGCTATACATATATTTTGTATCGTGTCATGTGTTGCAGCGTGACCGCCGCCGGCTGGTGCTTGCGGGTGGTGGGGGGGGGCGTGTGTCGTCACGCGCGCGTCCGTGACGTAGTAATCTCCGCATGAATCTCATCCGCGTCAGTTAGTGTTAAGAGTTTCGTGTTATCTAATATTAGGCAGCTAAGCTACGGCGTTCGCTTTCCGCTCTACCGGCGTACTATTCATATACTTTATGTATCTCGTGTTTATGTATATTTGCTATGTACGTTCCGCCTGTGAGGCGTGGGCTCCCACTGAATACATTCCACGGTCTAACCACTGTAATAGTCTCTTCGTTCAGATGTGATCTGCGCGTGTAGCCGCGTGTAACTCATTATTATATTTGTGAATCTGTTATCTTAGCCCCTTTAAGTTGTTTGTTAAGGAGTCTCTGTCTATTGTCTAGTAAGGAGTATAGTATATATATATGTATATGTTGAGACGCGTCGTCGGATGTCTCGTCTCATTATTCGGTAGCTTCTTTTGTATGTACACTGTTGTTTATGACTCTGTCGGACTGTTGTCATTACAAATGTCGAGTCTGTTGGACTGTTGTTGGTGTTGATGTCCGGTCACTGCCTTAACTCTGTGTGTATGTTATGTACAATGTGTTCATTGTATTCTATCCGTTACTCGACCCTCGCCCGTTCAAATATTTCTTGTCCGTAGATGTTAATATTATTGATCTATCCACAGTACGTGCACAATATAAGATGATACGTCACAAGATGATTTTCTTTACCGAATTACTTTGAAACCATGACACTAGGGCGGTCTTATAAAGATGGTCATTATACGATCGCATCTATAATCTGTGTATTGTATGACAAATTTAACGATTTTAGTGATTAAGTCCGTTGTATTTATGATTAAGACGCGATCTTTTTGCATACGAACGATTGTTATTTAATATAAAGCTCGATGGTTAAACAATTATTATGATTATTGAACAGCTCGTTGACATGTTCGCGCCTTCATTGTAAGTACGGCCGCCACTCGCCAGCCGACTTGTGTTGCATTTATTTCCGTGTATGTCTGTGAGCGGTGTCAACTGTATCTGTAATTGGCGCGTCAGGAGTTCAGTTAACGATTTATTTCACATTAAGTGACGGTAATTTATTGTACTATGATGGATATTTTTTTATGTTGCATAGAAAATAAATTTTAAGAAATTATTGATATTTTTATTTTGTAACCTTCTGCCGTGTAATATAACACTACTCCGATAGTCATATATAGATAAAAAAATGTTGATATTATGATGGTAAATCTGAATATTGTCGATTATATTTATATTTGTTTTCGAAAAAAAATTAAATAGAAATTGCTAGGTATGGAAAATTTAATAAAGAAGCAAAACAATGTATTGTTGTCATATGTTTAAAAATATATAAAAGAAGTGTATTATATTGTATATCATTAAACCTTACACTTTTCATATGTAGATTAAAAAACCTGAACATTTGCGAAATAGAAAGTAATAAGTATTTTCTTACATTTACTCCTTTTATTTTGAATTCCATTCTATATCGCTACAAAAACGAAAGAATAATAAAAGATGAGCAATGACACAATGCCCCATAACATAGCTGATAAGACAAGTCAGCAAACATAATATGAGCATTATTTAATTTAGATCAGAGTGCACATGCCAGAATTTTGAGACGAAACCTCTCAGCATTCCATGGATTCACCGTGCGGGTCCCGGGTCCATCACGTTGCAAGGAGAGGAGCTTCAACAATGCCTGGGACTTGCGACCCAAGTGTAGGTTTAAGGGACCCCTATCTAACGCGTTAAACACTCACCTCCACCGTCCAAGCTCCTCTCTCTACCAACCAAATTTGAAAATAACCTACTAGGGCTTCCTTCGAAGTGCGTTCTAAGAATGTACTAATGTGAGTCCTGGACAAGCCCAAGTCTTTTAGTAGGTTGTACAGAGATTTAGCTGTTATACCTCTCGCTCCCACTTCTACCGAATATAAATCCACAACGAACCTATGTCGTGTGAGATCGTTAGTGAGCTCGTAATATTTGTTGACCTTGATGGTATGGTCTTTGGGGATGTTAGTTTCCCAGGGAACCGTAAGCTCTATCATCACGACGCGCTTTAAAATTCGCGAAAACAAAAATATATCTGATATGATTTCTAGAATCCTATCATGGCGGCACGAGTATTGACCGCTACCCAGGAGTACCTTACATCCCACCAGCATTTGCTTAGCAGTTCCAACTGCCTGATATAGCAAGCATATACAGGGTGACTGGTGAATTACTATCGATACTTGAGGACGTGATATTTGACGATCATATATGACAAAATAAAAATTAATATAACATAAATATTAATAAACTTCTAAGTAAAGTTAACCAAAAGTTATGTAATTAATTACGCATCGTGTGAACACCCTACAGATTAGGTATACACATACACTCACAAATACGCGTCGGCGGCGTGGTGTTGTATCAGCACGCCGCCGCACTCGTCCACACTTGGAACGTGTCCACACTTTATTTATTTATACGGAAATTTGGTCAAAAATTAAGTACCTATTTTTTTACATAATTCGAATGAGAATTATGTACCGAGTATTCTCCTTAAATATTGATACTATCAATTCATTCATTCACCAGTCACCCTGTATATCATTTATAAAATTTGAATGATATGGCGAACGTCAGAGAGAGAGAAAATACTTATACGATATCTTTAACAAAAAATATAGATTTAATTATTTCAGTATAGGTAGCTATGTTGACAAAATCCACTTTGGCTTTAGATGTCACTGAAACTGAAAATTTACCCAGATTTAATGAAAAGTAACTAAAGTGATAGTTTTATTTACGTAATTCAACAGGTCCATTACTGCAAGCTATACCCTACAGTATATACTTTATATATTTTGCTCTCTTTGACATTTGACTTATTCTTACTTATTAGTATTCTTTGTAATTTAATTAACATTTTTAACAAACACCATTAATTATATAGCTCAGTTTTATAAACGCACATGACATTGGCGAAATCCATTAGGAAACGGCAGTAACTCAAAGAATAGAAAGATAGATGTAATTTTCAGTATGCCGAGATTAAATTAAAGGTTTTCATAAAACGCTCTCCTAAGTTTAAGTATTATAGTTATATTTAAATGAAACTAATATTTTTCAGATTATACTACTATCGTGATCAGGGTTGCTGAAAAGCAGACGAAACGTCGGAAATCGCATAGTATAATCCGCAAAATATTAGTTTCATTTAAATGAATAAAACTCGAAAAATCTTAGATCTCATTATTATAGGTAGTTATATTAAGTAGCAGCAAGAACACGACCCAGTTCCTCAGGGAAAATTCATTTCACGTGAAAGGTTTGCAATTTGTGTTGTAGACGGTAGACGAAATATCGCTCTGAATGCGCTTAAAATCCAAATCATTTTTTTAAATCCACAACCATGATGTAAATAAAATAAATAGTTGTATGTTTTTTCGAAATCAAAATTTGGTTCTATCACAAGAAATTTTGATTGAATAGTTAAATAACGAACACTATATTGAAATTTTAAATGATCAAAAAGATTACTTTAGTTGTTCAAGTCTGTTATTTTTATGATCTATCAGTTGTTAAAATGTAGCAAACTTCAATTAATTATTAATATCATTTTTTCTATTTTACATTTTATTTTATTTAATAGGAAGCCAACGTGATACACAAAAACTTATAACTACATTATAACATGAGGTAACATAATTGTTTACAATTGCGTATCATCACTTACAGGCTAACTCAACATGGGTTAGGTACATAATGTTTAGATCTTAGTCCAAAACTTACTATAATAGATACAATAAAAAAAATAACAAACAATATGGTGAAAAAAGTATGTAGGTATAATAACAACAAAAAGGAATAAAAAATAATTACAAAAATCTAAAATCTAAAAAATCTAACAAAACTCTAAAAAAAGCTATATAAGAAGAAACTTAATGAACAAAAAAAAGTTGTGACATGACATATTATTTAGAATGGAAATGTTTTTTAATTTTACCTTTATACATATTAAAACTATCATTAAAATTATCTAGGTTTGAATTACTCTCAATATCATTATGACATTTAATGATTTTACTTATTGGCGCAGCTTGGCCTAAATTGGTCCTAGAAAATCTACTTTTAAAAGTGTAGTATGTTGTATGTCTAGGAACTACAACATTAATTCTATTTAATAGATCAGGACAGTCGATATCATCGTATATAATTCTATGAAAGAAACACAGGTCCAGCATATCTCTGCGATCTACTACAGAAAGTGCATTATAGATTGCAAGTATAGTCTTGTAATTTTCGTTCTGTAAATTATTTTTATCAATAAAGCATAAATATCGTAAAAATTTCTTAAATATTCTATCTATTCTGTCTTTATGGATATTATAATATGGATTCCAAGTAGTTGAACAGTACTCTAAGTTACTGCGAACTAAATAATCAAACAACAACTGCCGTGTGTACGTACTCTTAAAATTTTTTGTATTCCTAATTATGAAGCCTATGGACTTGAAAGACTTATTAACAATATCGTCGATATGTGGAATGAAACTGAGTTTGGAGTCCATTAATTTTGAAGAAGAAAATCAAAAATACCTAGGTACCTTGTTTAAACCTTGCTAAACTTCTACCGATATTGTTTAAATTCAAGTTTATTTATTACCTATTTAAATAGTAAAACTCTATTATAGATAGTATTCTACAAATATCTTGATTATACAATATAATTATTAATCTTCCGTATTTTGTTGATGCCAGATGACCATCTTGGATAACATTGGCAGCCAAAGTTTATCAAGGAAATTGAAAATCAGAAAAAATAAATGCATCAGGTTAAGTAAAGTAACGACAAAACCATGTGTTAGATGATGAGTGTCCTGAAAATAATAATTAAGAATGTTAAGAAAATTTATTTCAAGACTATGACTACATTTATTTACAATGATTAGAAATCACAATTTGCATAAGCTATGTAAATATGAAAACGGTCTCGAGAGTCCTAGTCATCAAGTTGTTTGTTTATGCATTTCTCTTATATGTAATTCGCCGTATACTAATATTTATTTATGTATAAGAGTTCACTTACTAACTCTTTAAATATTGTTTTTATGTAAATAAATATTCCGAATCAGTATAAATCAATTGTTTATCATATATTTTTTTAAATATTCAGCAAAATGGACTAGTCACCATTGTACACTTTCAATTTAGCCTCTCGTATTTTTCTTATATCCTAGTACCTACAGTAAGAACGTCAACATAAAATCTATAATAACATGGTCCCAAAGAAAATTTATCATTTCAAAAGTATCAACACATTTATTCAGAAACAAATTGATTCATATTCCGTATGACTTGATTTCTTTAACACGACTCGTTCAGTATAAATTCTCCGGATCATCCCTAACACTTAAGCAAATTCGTAAATATGAGTTTTTTAAAGAGTCGTTACAAAAAAAGTAATTGTTAAAAATATAAAAAAACCATTTACCTACGGATGTATAGATTGTAAAAGAATTCTTTGTTAGTGCTTAATTAATTCCATATTTATTGAATGTAGGTAATGTTAATTGTTATGTTTTGGCCTTAAAAACAGAAAGTTTAAAGTGTGACAGCGACATTTCCGACATCGCCGAAAAAATATGAATGTTTTAAGACTTTCTTTTCAATGAAGAGTAACATTTTAGGACAAAATTGAATTGAATTACGTAGGTAGCTATATTGAAACACACGCGGAGTCACGGAAAATACGTTGCATTTCACTATCAAAATTAGAAGGTTAATGTTACAATTACAAAATTAGACGCCGCGATGAGGACTGTTATCAATGTTGTTAATTATAGGAGAGAAAAAGATAAGAGCAGAAGATAAAAGAGATTTTATTTTGGAATAACTGAAAAGAGAGTAGGTGGAGTTATGGAACGAAAAAACAATGCAGAAAACAAAGTAGAATTACAAACAAGTTAATAGATTGATGTAATGATGAGAATTAGCTAATAGAAATGTGTATATGAGTTGCTATGATATTTTATATAACTAAAAAAAATTATAAATTTAAAAAGCGATTGACCAAAGATGACAATGAATTAAATATAAAAGATAATACAGTGTCGTTTTATCACATTTAAATTTCAGTCCCGAGCTTTTGTATTTCAAAACAGAACTAAAAGATCGTAAGTGCGACGTGTATAGTGAACCACATGTTTATTGTTCTAAAGTTTAGAATATACGTTAATTGATAAGCGCTTGTTAAGTTCGAACAGACACAAAGGCACACCAAAATGTCTTATGGCATTATGGTGGCAGTGTATTTTGAACCGTTGTTGGGCTAACACGCGCCCTTTGTGTTTTAATAACTTGAAAAATTGTGTTCACGATCTGTGCAGTGCAATTAAAAAATATGGTTGCGTGATTTATATTCGGTTCTATATAATTATAGCGAAAAAAAGACTCGAAACAGGTACGGAGTGTATTTATAAATAAATTAGCTTTGCGAAATTAGTAAAGGATATCAGAGATCGTTGATCCCACTTTTGTTAAGTGGTTTGTTTAATTTAGGTGTTGATCCTTGAATGTGGATAAATATAGAAACTCTTTGGTGCGACCCAGCGAGGAAGAATGACAAACCAAAAAATATTAAAAAACATATATATGAGTGGCGTTACATAAATTTGATTCATTATATCTATATTCTATGTATTTACTACGGCGAACATAAATTTGCTGCATTTATAGCTTCATAGGAATGCTTACACTGAATGTGTTAGATCGTAAACAATGCTATCTATGATGTATACAAAGATATTAATAGATTTCATAGACCATAATTATGAGACGGAACGAGACTCGGTTTCAGGTAAAGTCCACGATAAATAACTTTTGATGATAGATTTGCATTTTAACATCACCTTAAACACGGAATATTATTATTTACGAAACGAAATATAACACTAAAATTTAATACGATTTAGATTCCAATTATATATAAAACCAAACATAGGTTTAAGTTTAAAATTTATAAGAATTATTTTATGATATAGCATTATGGCTATGGATCGTTACAATCAAAAAAAAAAAGTCCGTCTAAAAAAAGGTTTTAATTATCAATAATAAATAAAAAAACACAGAGTAATCAAACAAATATTAAAATATTATATTCCCTATAAAAGTGGGTTTTCCAGAAAATTCTTGTGTAAGCGATACTCATATGAGTAATATTAGTACTGTGCAATTCACATGAATGCAAAACCTCAAATATGGATACGATGCGGTGAGAACCCGGCCTTCATCGAAAACTATCAATTTAATACATTTACATATTGATGGTTATAAGATTAGTTTATGTTAAAGTTTACTATTAAATCAGGACAGGGTACATGTAAAATAAATCTCATTGAAAAATAAAAAAAAAATTATAGTTTAGATTCAACTAGATAAATGTCTTCTAAAACAAACACGTCTGTTATTGTATTAAAACAGTAAGTTGATATATACCTACTTTACTACAACAACATAATATCTATCTCTTATTTCCATGTGTTATCAGTTTCATTTGTTCTGGAATTCTTAAGTCATTTTTAGAACATGTTATTCGATGTAAAATTTTGTACCATAAAAACACCAGAACCGAAATCAATAAAGCATTATTAATTGATTTTACCATTCTATCAAACCAGTTCGTTCCCAATATATTTAAAAGCAGACAAAAGACAAAGGAGGTTTTATTTTTTACAACAAGGAATGGAACTACGGTCCACTGTCCACACGATACAAATCTTTAAAAAAAAAACGTGTCATGAACGTCCTGAGGCAGCGGACGGGAGCACGACTCGCGTTAGCCGGAGCTTGTTTTTTTTTTTACTTTGTTACCTGTTTCCGAGCGAGCGTTCAATGGCTGGTTAGGTTAACAAGTGCTGCAGGGATGTACAACCTTTTTATATTCTGTCTTATTTTACAATATTTAATACAAAAAAATCCTCTCTAATTCAGTTTCATGTATATATAAAAATATATTTTTTTTATAAATTTAAGCAAAATATAAAATTAATAACGCATGTAAGGCGATACAAAAATAGTACATTTCAAGTAGTTGTTGCGTGAACATGTATTATACTTACAAAGCTACAATGCCTGTATTTATAAGGGGTATAAAACGAGTCCCTTAAACTCGGTGGCAACAGTGACGTCCACGTCAAAGTGATAATGGATCATGGCGGCCGTCTGCGGACGGTTTCGCAAATCTGCATGCGGTCATTCGCTTGCAGCCGGCCTTATCACAGGATGTATGTGTCGCATACCACTGAAATTTAAAACTATTTTCATACATTTTATAAAGAAACTTTTATTTTAATAAATCGCATCAGTTTTATTGAAGCAACTTAAATTATACGAGATAAAAGTCCTACAAAGCCGTTACTCATCTATATTTCTCATTACAATCTTAGTAATTTGAACATTACAGTAATGCCTAGTTATATATTATTTTTAGATATATATTATATATCTAAAAATAAATTGATAGCCGTATAAATAGAGCGACAACGCTAAAATTTTTTCTATTAATATCGTTGCAATTTAACATTTTGTTTAAAGACACAACAAAAAACAAAAACGCGAAGGAAAAAAAATTAAGCAAAAGGTGCTTTCGTCGTATGTTTATATCAAAAAACAAAAAAAAATAACGCATACTATCACAGCTAGTACGTATTTATTATGGTAGGTATATTTACTAATCTAAACAATAAAAATAATATGAAGATTACATTTTTTTTTTCCAGAACTAAAAATACGTTTGAGATAAAAAATTAGGCGCCAATAAAATTTTAAGGTCATCAAACAACATTATCTGACCTGGAGTGTCGTAACATTTAATGAATTAATCACTAAATGTAAGCTACATGATTATTTTTTATCATCATTTAATAAATAGACAAGTTTATAATTACGTGGCACTATCATAAATATATACAAACAAAAAATATTTACGTCTTGTATACACGTTTTTTTTGTATATTTACGATTTATATCTAAGCTTTTTAATGGCATTCAAATACAGTTGTGACACGTTGCTACAAAGACTATTATAAAAGTTTTGATGAACAAACCTTATAATTTAAATTAAAAAAAAAATTGTATTTTCTTTTTTTATAAGATAAAACAAATCTAACTATTTAGACAAACATAGAATCAGTCAGGTATGAACATGTAAAAACGTTCACACTACAAAAATATCAAAAACATAACCCTCCTTGTCGATGTTCTAACACAGTCGGTTCAAAATAAACAGTCATCCTAGACAGAATAGTTTACAACCCCTGCTCTGTGGTGCGACTATTTTTTTCCTTCACACCTTTTGTTAGTATAATTCGACATCAGAAAAAAAATATTAGACATAACATTTGACAGGGGTTATTTAATGAAGACGTCGGGCTTTTCTCACGGCCGTGTTGTGGGACTACCGGCCAATCAATTATCTTAACTGTGGTAATTCTGTTTTGTCTAGACTCTTTTTTTAACTTATCTATTTGTTCTGACAACAGACGTTTTATTTACACGGCAGTTACTCGCTTGTTATTTAGTTTACCTTTCGCTAATGTGTTAGCTATTGTTTTGTTTGACTTTTTCTACTCATTTAAATAGACGCGTATTACATAATAATGAGTTTTTAATAAAAATAAACTTCGACTTTGTTTTTCTGCTTTGTTTGTTCGTAATTTGTTTGGTTTTAAGTTTTGAACTTATTTATTTCTTAATTTCTTAAATGGATGATAAAATATTTTATATTATTGACACTTCAAATAAACGAAACATATTTTACGATTATCTAGCTATTTAAGGAAGCTTTCCTGACTCTATAGAATCTATAGGGTCAGGGAGGCTTCCTTCTACACTGTTGATAGTGGTCTAATCTTAATGATTTTTAAAGATTATCGTCAAACAGACGACCAAAAGAAGTACTCGCGTTCCAAATCAAATAGTTCCTAATAAATATATATTTACAGATATTAGGTAGTATGTGGCGGTCAGCGTCGTACATGGTGCGCGTGGCTGCCGGCGTGGCGCTCGTGACGTCCCTGGCGCTCGCGAGGCGCGACTACCGCGACCCTGACAGACAGAACGCGGACATCTCGCTGTGGATAGATGAGAGACAGGTGCGGATGTTCAGCGGTACGTACAACACACACACACACACGATACACATACCTACTACGGGTAGAACGTAATAGGTACCCTGAAACAAACATTCACAGAAATGATCTCATATTATAAGTTCTCAAGCCTTATGACGGGGAAACCTACATTAAAATCAAAATTTTGATCTATTGTCGCTTCAACTAATATATTCCTTGGATTGTGTTCCCTACTTAATATTATAAATGTGAAAGTAACTCTGTCTGTCTGTTACGCTTTCACGCCTAAACCACTGAAATGATTTTAATGAAATTTGGTATAAAGATAGAGTTGACCTTGAGAAAGAACATATGATAGTTTTTCCCAGACTTTTGAAAGGTTCTCTTGGAAACGCGATATAACCGAACTCTACGCGGTCGAAGCTGTGGGCAGAAAGCAAGTATTTAATATTAATAAAGTTCCACTCCCCTAATCAGTTTCTTAGAACAGAATGTGTAGTGGAATCCACATTTTGTTTATTATTTTATAGGACTTTACAAACTGTCTTATTTCAGGTATATCGATGCAAGTTTTCGCGATAGTCAACGGCAATATATCGCCGTATGTTCTGGATCCTAATTTCTCTCACAAGCTGCCAACGATACCCTCGGAGGTGGGCTACGTAAACTTCACGTGGAGGTCCAAGAAGAGATACTATTACAACTTCGATACATTGACTTCATCTGACCCTAAAGTATTGAAACCTCCGCTCTTGTCCATCAAAACACAGGGCCGGGTGCCTAAAACGTCTAAAGGTGATGATCATCTTCCCTTTTTTTAATTCAAGAAGCCTCATCAATAATAAAAATTCTGCACATTACTTTTAATACTGATGAAGTAAAATAAAGTTAAGTCCTAAATCGGTAATAACTAGAATATGATTGTCCACAGAGTTCAGTATATTTCTGCCTTGTATGGGCAATGTGAGTGGTGTGGCGACGTTTGAGATAGGGTTAGTGATTAAAAACGGTAGAGGCTACCCCTTGAAGGGGACGCCCTTGAGGTTGAACCTAAAGAAGGAATGCGCACAGAGAGGTGTGTATTTAGAAAGGACAGGTATTGTATCGCCAACGCATTTTTAACACTTATACGACTGCGCTGCGTAATAAACTATCGATTACCTGAATGATTTGTTCTTTGGAATTATCTGTTTCTCGTGTAATATAAATCATTATGACGTTATTAGGAGCGCAGTCGTAACGCTTATATTATATTTATAAGACATTCAGTAACTAAACATACGAATCTTTCTAGCTTATTAATTAATTTTCTCATGCTTCTTCTATTGAACAAAATAATGAACACTAAAAATGCTAAAACATTTACGTTACTAATATTGTCCAACGACACGTAGTGTTTGTATTATAGTGTTCGGGAACAATACGGTCATTGACGTTTTATTGGATCATTGTTGGAGATTTATTACTACTTATTATTAGTACCTATATTTTTGAGTCACACAAGGACAATGGCGCCTGTTCTAACCGACCTCTGTACGCGCCACGTACTTTTGATTTCTTCATATATTAAAACGTCAACAACTGTACTATTCATTTTACTAATATTTCATAATAAATAATCTTTATCATTAGCGTATTAACCAAACGCATTGTTTTTCAAATACCGAGCGCATTCCCCGAGTACGCCGACTGACTGTTACACGGTGCCTCTGCTCACAGCATTTGCGTTTTTAGGTTGGTAAAATGCTTGCTTCATAACATAAGGCAATAAATAAAAAAAAAACAGACAAATAATATTTTATCAGGATAAATTATATTTAATATTCTATAATTTCTATAACTGTCTCAATATTAGTATTAATTTAATGACACCTAATCTAATCTGTGTTCACGACTGCAGGACCGGATCCGGAATGCGATAAAAAATGCGCGAACCAGGGCTGGTGTAATAGTGAGAAGATCTGTCAATGTCCCGAGGGGTACATGGGACAACATTGTAGGACCGCTCTATGTTACCCGCAATGTATGAACGGGGGTAACTGTACCGCGCCCGGGGTCTGCTCCTGTCCCCCCGGCTACCAGGGACGGCATTGCGAAGGAGGTTGGCATACATTGACATTGGCTGAATAATAATATCTATTGCCTTTTTGTATAGTACTGTGTTCATTTCGTACGTATGAGTACAAACTTATTGCTCATACTTTACGGCAAAGAGTTTAACAAATATTGTATGAAAGAAAAGTCGAATTAATAAAATATATTTTTATTAGTAAACTAAACTGTGAGTAGGATAACCCGTACGATCCATTTAATTCAAATATTACATCCAAGATAACGCTGAAGTTATTCCTGATACGAATAAAAACTTTATCCTGGAAATAACTCGGATCATTTCCAATGAATCAAAACCAGTCGTGTCATATATTATATCTTCTTGGATATACTGATGGCGACTTTACATCCGGTTTTAATGACTTCAGTGAGTGCTTTATAAAATGGCGCCTGTTCCGCTCCATGGTCGAGCCCCGTGTCGTGGTGTTCCTGTTCTTCATCCCTGAACTTGGTGATAGTTTGTAAGATGTCCTTATCTACGTTAGGATCCTCCATCAAGGTCCTCAGTTGGTCGTTATAATGTTCTACTATAACTGTTTCCACCGCCACAGTGCACGCCATCGCTGCTTCTTTACCTAGCAGCGCTGTGCCTGAAAGAAATTTAGTATAAAACGTGAATTTTGATTAACACTCTATGACGTCATAATGTCCAATAAATTGGGCTTTTCTTGGCAAAAATCATCTCACCAGCTCCTAATGCAAATCCAGCTATATTCCATATAGGCGTCATAATGGTTGGCCTGACTCTATACTTGGAGATAAGTTCTTCGAACTTCTCCCTGTGTTTGATCTCCTGTTCCCACATGTGTTTGATGAGCGGACCTTCCTTAGTGTTCCCTAACACCGCCATCTGCCCCGCGTAGATCCTGTCGGCACCTAATTCACCCGCGTGGTCGACGCGAATAATAGAATCCAACTGGAAATACGACTTTTAATAAGCAACACAGATCCAAAGAAATGAAGTGGAATAGTAATTCAGAATAAAAAATCATCAGACACTCATAAGTAAAGACATAAGTGTTCCTTTTAAAAGTAGCATCTACTATAAGTAAAGTAACATGTAGGAACTTTCCTATTTCCAAATAAGGGGCTGTTCAAGTATTACGTAAGCTGATATTACAATTATTTACCCCCCCATCCCCTTGTCAGCAAAAGTAAGCAAAGCTATTACCTGCTCCCCCCATGCTTATGCAAACATTTTCAATTACGGTATTGTTTTTTTTATATTAAAAATAAATAACTACCGATTAATAAGTATTAAAAAGTAAATAACTACCGATGACATAATCAATACCTAGACTTTCCTACCCCCGTGTCATCCAAAATAATCAAAGCAAAGACCCCCTGCCCCTCCATAGTGCTTACTTAATACTTGAATGGCGCCTAACATTTCGTTCTTAATAATAACTCACATGAGGATTCTTCTTCCACGTGGCTGAGTGAGCTTCCCTCACATGTCTTAGTACTAGCGTCGGCCGCAACATGATGTACTCTGTAACACAAACATAATGATGAATCTCCTTTCCAGGTATATGTTCACAGAAATGTTTGAACGGCGGCAAATGTATTCAGAAAGACACATGCGAATGTCCCAAGGGATACTACGGGTTACACTGCGAGTTCTGTAAGTCTGGCTAAATTAACCACCACTCATATCTTAAGGCCAGGATAATTCTAATATAACATTGATCTTCCTCAGCCAAATGTGTGATCCCTTGCCTTAATGGAGGTCGTTGTAAGGGTGTGAACAAGTGCCGTTGTCCGGCCGGCCTGGGAGGAAATCATTGTGAGGTTGGGAGACGAGGAGGAGAGTGTGCTCGAGCCTGCAGACATGGTGTATGCCGAGCGGGAGTGTGCCGCTGTGAGCCTGGCTGGAGGGGACGGTACTGTCATCGTAACTATGGTGGGTCAAAGTTCATAGATACTACTAATATACATTAAATATACATATAGCTTTGCGGGAGAATTTGGAAATGCAGATCAAGTTGAATTATATAATATGGATGAAGCCTGATGATGAATGAATGAATGATGAAAACAACAAACTATTGGTATATAGGCAATTATAAGAAAATTCATGATAATTGAGTGTCATATTAATAAAGCAGTTTAAAAATTGTGAGATCTAAGACTTTCACAGGTATTCACTAAAATAAACCTAGTATTCTTTTGTTTACTATTAGTATAGAAGTAAACAAAATAATATTACTTTCATTTAAGTTTAATAATTGGTTGACAAATATATGAATAAGTAATACTACAGTTTCATGCCTAGAAACTACCGAACTGTAGTATTCTATCATATGTATGAAATGTACTAGTTCCCAACTCAATTGGGCTATACAATCAAATGGTTGCTAATGAGTTTCAGTGAGACATTCATCCATAAGACATATTACAGATATGAGTAATATAACTGTAACTGTTAATTTGTTCAGGTTCTTCAGAAGAATCGGGAGAGTTAAAGAGGCCGCGATGAAAAGCAATAGAACACCACACGGTACAACTTACTTAAGTAACTTGTGATTTCATTAAGTTTATTGAGAATTTTTATATTTTGTAATAATTACTAAATTAGTCATTTAGGAATTAAGGTTTATTATTTTATAAGATATTAAAAAAATTAGTATAAGGTGACAAATTAAATGGTGGTTTCATTTTCAGAAGATATTCCTTGCAAAATATAGTGATGCATAAGACAGATAATAATATTTTTGTTACAAAATCAAAGTTATGGCTCAAAGCTTTTATTATTTTGACCCCAGATTAGATAGTTATGTCAACAGGTGCAACTTTTTATGAATGCAATACTTAAAAGATAAGCAAACAACGCATTTTCATCAGTATGTGGTTGAAGTATGTGATTTTATATCTTTTAAATACTATGCTAGTAATAAGATCCAGAATAAAAGAAGAAGTATCGTAAAACCTAACCTATATTTCAATAACAAAACTTAAAATAATTGAGTTGATGAAAATTGGATCTCTCATTAACGATGGAAGACCGTATATTATGTATAAAATAAAAAAAATACCTTTTAAATTATGTCGTAACTTTCATAGAATTAAATAACTTACCGTTTCTATTAACTTTCTCAATAAAACTTTCAGACTTTGATATCACGACACTTAATTTTACTGTCAAATTAAAATAAACTTTTATATATGAAAAAAAAACTGTAAATAACTTTTTTCAATATAGTGTCTATAAGTCCTATAACTATTCAAGAAAATTTTGTTGCTGTTTATATGTCAAACTCGTTCACTGAAAATTCCGACAGGTAGCGCCACAACATGACATGATCAATGTTTTCGAAAATAAACTTGGAATTTTTTCTGAACGCCTATCATAGAGGCAAAATTTAAAATAAGAGACAAAAATCTGTATAAAAAGTGGTAAGTATCACTTAAAATAAAGCATTTTTTGCAGGCTACTTACAAAATACGAAGCTCTTTCCCCCCTCAGTCTGAGGGGCGATTGCCCTTTCCATGAAAAGAAACTCAACCGCGCAGACTCGTACAAAATGGCGCCCCTAGATATGAAGTGTACAATGTTCACATATCGCGTTTACCGATCGATATCAATGGAGGATTCGCATTTTTCGGGGTGTCTGCAGCGCTTCGTACATTTTATGAATCTCGTGTTCAGCTGAGTGAAAGAGTCTTAGAAAGTGTTGTTTTTGTCCGATTACATCACCGAAAACTTGAAGAGCTTCCAATAGGAGTGCAAAATGTCTTTCAAATCACGCAGGTGCGTACGCAGTCGTAGTCTTTCTATTCTATCTGGGCCTGCTCGAACGCGCGACCCCTTCATGATGGCCATTCATTTGGGTTTATCCTTTACGCCGCCGCAAAAGAGTTTATGTCATTCGCTTTCAAAACTGACCTGTCGTAGCTATCTGCTAGAACTGCATCTAAACAAAAACATAAAAACGAATTACATCATTTTGAAATATGTACATTACGAATATGCACATCTATTTTGTTTCTTATGCTCGCTGGCTTGATGTGTCCAGCTTGAAGTAGTAGGCGACGACAACATTTCTCTCTATGTTGACATAATTATTATAAATTTAAAGCCTAATAATTATACTATTTGACTATTCCGAGGGCAGATTGAGTATTGATTTTTTGACTCAACTAGCTGCTGGCACAATAGCTAGGTCGATAGTTGTAAATTCAGATTTATACCATAAATTTAATACGAATCATTTATAAGTCGATGTATAGTCATTTAAGCCTATTTCTCGTATACCTGCTAGAAATCCGTTTTCTGTGGAATTATTCAGATTTATAATATTTAAGCATTTTGAAATGTCAAAAGGTCATGATGATTGTCTAAGGCTCACAATCTGATCTTTGATTTATACAAATCAATTAACTACATTATTGATTTTGCTAATATTGATATCTGTTAACTGCTAGCACATTTTTGTATGTGATTATTAATTACAATATGCTTAGTTTTTCTTTTAATATACTAGCCATACATATTTCAGTCTTCAATCCACAGACTTAATAGCTATATTAGTGTTATTTTTTTGTTAAAAGTGTGATGCTCAACATTGGCCTGTAAGTGACAATGCCTACATCTATATTTAAATTATATAAAAAATATAATTTTAATATTCTCATTAGATTCCATTAAAAAAATATAATATAAATTAATTTGCTAGCTTAAAATATTACTATATTACTAAGCTATGTATTAGAAATATATAATATATTATGCTCTGCTGCTGATAGAAAACAGTTAAAAATAAATTACAATCTGAATATACCTGTACTAAAACTAGTACAAAATTATTTATTAGCCAGATGCATAAAGGTTATAATTAATTGCAATCTCACTATTAGTTAGTAATAAATAATGTCTTGATATAAATTGTAGTTATAACTTTTTAATAAAATATATTTTTTTATTTATAGTTTATTAAAATAGTAAAGGTAAATTATAAATAGGTCCTCTTAAGACATGTATTGCTTCTATATATTTTTAAAGCGTGCTAGTTTTTTATAAAAATAATAATCCTTATTTTTCGAGGATATAGTAAAACATATGGAAAAAAGAAATAAAAATAAATCACTTATAGCTTTATCTAAAGATAATTACTGAGTATCATTTTATAGTGCTACTAAATAAACTATATATTAGTACAAAAAAGACCAGTTAAGATTTTGTAAGTACATTAAAATCACAAAATTGTAAGTGAAGAGTTTTTATTTCTCAGTCACATTGTATATAACATCATAATAAAAGGTAAATTATAAAATTAACCGGAAATGAATAACAAACATATTAGAAATTATAATCATTACTACAGAAGAGAAGTAAGATTAGTATTGACAATTAACATCTTAAAACATTTAAATAATATTTATGAATTAGAAATGATAAAGACTTGAAAGAATATAAAATGATTTTATGAAACTTATGGTGATATTTAAGTAGTGAGTGTACAGAATATATGTTAAATTGAATTGTTTTACCATCTGTTTATTGCAAAGAGCTTTGGTTTTGTGCATCTCATTGGCTAATTTTTAAATTCTTCACTTTGTATACAACCATTTATATTGTAAAGACTTCAAAGTCAATTTGAATAGTAATATATTAAAATTTTCGATAACCTAACTCTATGAGTAAAGTATCTCTAAGGTTATATCTGCATATTTTAAAGGGTTTATTATTTACTAACTCAAAAGGAGAAATATGTCTCATACATACAATATGTATTATAATAATGTAACCATTTCTAGTTTTGGTAAATAAATAAATATGTGTAGTAACTGACTACCAGATTTACAATAGACAGTTCTACTTGTTGCAGCTATATTACACCATAAAATTAACTGAAATCAGATTAATGCTAAAAAATACTCTTCTTTAGATTTAAATTATAGAAAAAATACAATTATTTGTCATTACAAATTCTAGAACTCATAAATAGTATTAATATTTATATCATATAGTATTTTATTTTAACATTCAAGCTCATATTAACTTCTAACTAACAGAACCTTTACAAATGTACTTGCACATTACCTAACTGTGGTCACTGAAAATATCATTTACATGATCATATTAAAAATAACAAACAAAACTGTATATAATTTTTCTATTGTATCAAGAGTATCTACAGTTATTAATATCTCAATTGGAAATTCTGATATTTAGTACATAATAGGAATATATTAACATTTATTTTACTGGTCATTCTGTTAATAGAGAAGTTTAAATCAATCTTTTTGTCAGTGTTTTTGAAATCTTTTAGTTATGTTTTATTTTTAACAAACTCTACAATATTCAGATATAACAAGTCATTGATTTCTTCTTTCAAGCTACTGTATTGGAACTAGATAGTTCCTTATATAACCATAAGGAAGATTCCTTATATAATATAGCTTAAAATAACAAGTTCTAGGAATACGTTTTTAGTTGGGCTGTGATTGTTATTTATGAAATAAAAAAATTGATTCATGAACACTTGTTAACATAAACTTTTTTTCTAATATACCAAGAAATTTACAAAAATATAAACCTTCTTATTTATTTGTTGCGTAAATTAAAACATTACACATGAAGCATTATTGTATTAAAACCTACTTGTATTAATACAAAACAAGATTAACTAGAATTAACATTTGATGACAACACATCCTTCCTTTACATAGTATATACCTCACACCATACATTATACCTCATACTATTAAAACATATTTCATTATTTTTCTTGCCACAATGAGCTATTTGTTTTCAGTCAGTGGTGGCTTAGTGGTTAAGAGACCCGCCTCTCATGCATGAGGGTGTGGGTTCGATCCTGGCCCTGGCATGTACCAATGTGATTTTTCCGAATCATATGTACTTTCTAAAAGTATGTAGACATCACTGATTAATGCATTCCCAAAGAGGGTTGATGTCAGGCAGGCGGCCGGTTGTAAAAACAATTAGCCAAAAAAAATATTGACATCATGTCAGGCAGACTCTGGCTAAAGGGGGGTTATTGCCAGGTAGAAGAATAAGAATGAGATATTTGTTTTCAAATTATTCATCAACAACAAAAATTGCATAAATAACAGCTGTTTTATTGCACATAATATTTGCATAGTTCTAATCAACTATATAAACTGAGAATTATTAAAAAAAAAGTACAAATTAGCAGGCTTTCATTTATACCTTATAAATTTACATTAATAAGCTTCATACACATACTGACTCAAACTGAACTTATCTTTAAGTTTCTTAAGATATAATACAAATCCTAGTAATGTTAATATGATATAATTGTTTCAGGTAAACAGTAAGTGATCCCGGTACATAGCTGATCTAAGGTGAAGGGAATGGCTCTGGACAGTCAGGGGACTCTGACTACGGCAACATGAACTCAGCGGTCAGCACCGAGTCCATGGATATGGCTGAGGAGGTTTGTTATATACAAACATTAAAAGTATTATTAGATATAAGACTATAGGAAATATGCATTAATATGATACCAATATTTAGTTATTGCTAAACTACATGTTCTCAAAGTTTAGATTACTTTGTAGCAACTATGATCACGGACAAACAAAAGTGTATTTGGTTATCATTATATAGTTTCTTTGAAATTAAGAATATGTTAATTAGTTAATGTAATATATTAAGATTATTATTTTTATGGCTATTATATAAAATTAACTCTCTATTCAATTGTCTCTATGAAAATGAATTTTCAGAGAGCTTTTTAATAAGGTGGACAATTATCAGTCAAAATAAATAGTATACAGTGGCATTCGGTTCAATTTATTCACAAGCTTATTTACATTTATAATATGGCATATATTCACAATTGTCTTCTAACAGGCCCAGGGTTAAATATACCCTTGCTCATTTTCCTTTTATTACTTACTAGCTTTCCGCCATCAGCTTCGCCCGCGTGGAGTTCGGTTATATCGCGTTTCCAAGAGAACTTTTCAAAAGTCTATGACAAAAACTATCCCATGTTCTTTCTCAAGGTCAACTCTATGTCTGTACTAAATTTCATTAAAATCGGTTCAGTGGTTTAGGCGTGAAAGCGTAACAGACAGACAGAGTTACTTTCGCATTTATAATATTAGTAGCGGTAGTGGGGATGGATATTTAAAAAATCTCCGCCAACTTAAAGCCGTTATCACTTATCTATTGAGCTTGTCCAAATATAGGACAAATGTAATATCTTCAAATTTCATTACGTGACTAAGGATTAAACTTTAACTTGAATAGATTTTAGTTTTCTTACAAAAATATTAATTAATCATATCAGGGGTAAAGATGAGTCATGATTCATGACATCCTTATGTGACTTTTAACGTCGATCTTCATTTCTAAGTCCCTATAATAAGATTTCGTTCAAATTACGGCATAGTATCAATTAACACTTCTTTATGATAAATATTAAAGTATTCCAAAGAAAGTTATTACGGACCATGCTCCTCTTTAGCTGTTATGTTGGAACAAACTCTCAGCTCGAACAAATTCACAACTTGTTAGTTCAATGATGCATCTATACTAATATTATAAAGCTGAAGAGTTTGTTTGTTTGAAAGCGCTAATCTCCGACACTACTGGTTCGAATTGAATAATTCTTTTTGTGTTGGATAGTACAGTTATCGAGGAAGGCTGTGGGCTATATAACATCACGCTACGACCAATAGGAGCAAAGATATAGTGGTAAATGTGTAAAAAACGGGAGAAATTTTTTCATCTTGGAAGCCTTCCATTGCGTGCGCCGTGAAAACGGTTCAAGATATACAAAAAATATGTATTAAAGAATAATAGCTCTTTTAATGATCTAAAAAGCAGTCCGCGACAGTATATATCTATCTTTTAAGATTAACTCACAAAAACCGTTTTTATGGTACCTAATTTGGTCGAAATAATTTGTTTAAGTTGTATCAACATAATAATATAAATCTTTATTCAAATAAACAAATAAATATGTTGTTGGTTAAGAGTACTTCATTGTGAATAAAAAAAAACATAGGTTTTATCCTGAAAATTCTGCGGGAACTCGATTATTCCGAAAACCCCGCATAATCGGGAACTATGTGGGAAGAACCAAAAATCTGCCGGAAGTCACTATTCCACGCGGACAAAGTCGCGGCAAAAGCTAGTGTAATATAATATTGCTGCCAAGTATAGTATGTAATCAGTATATTTCTACATTATTTTTATAACCGTCACGGAAATAGTAATAACTAATAAGTAATGATGTCTCAGCTGTTCTACATAGCGAGAAATAGCTCCGAACTCTTCATAGCTTTGAGGAAATCAGTAGCCATAGACATAAATCGAGTCATTTGAATTATCTAATTTAAAATTAATGAGAATTGGTTGTGGTTAACTTAAGTAGACCCTAAATCTTAAAACGCTTCTTTCTTATTCCTCATACATAAACCTAAATTTAGGTGTATCCTATACAATTATTATTTATATAGTTTATCTATTGTTTGTTTGGTGTTGTAGGAGATGTCTCAGGTGGAGGGTTGTGGTCTGAGCGCCTCCGAGGATGAGGACGAGTGTGCTTCGTCTCCAGCCGGCTCGGCATACGACGACGCTGGTGACGTCATCAAGAGCGCCATGAGCGACGAGGTCACCAAGCAACTAGCGGCCGCTGGTACGGAACACTATGAACAGATACACTAATAATACTAACCGCGAAGTACTTAGAACATTTAGATTCATATATAGAATGATCTTTCTTGTAACATTGGTGTTCGTTAACAGGCCCAGTAGGCATGGCGGCAGCAGCAGCGATCGCCTCATCCAAGAAACGCAAGAGACCGCACTCATTCGAGACGAACCCCTCCGTAAGGAAGAGACATCAGAACAGACTGCTGAGGAACTTAGAGTGAGAAACATATCGAGATTAATGTTAACGGTTGAAGAAATTATCATACTAATATATATATTTGTTTGTATTCAGCAAACGATCGAGGAGTTTGCGACCCGCGTGGGTCAGCAAGCGGTGGTGCTGGTAGCGACCCCCGGCAAGCCCAACACTTCATACAGGGTGTTTGGAGCTAAACCACTAGAAGACGTTGTACGGAACCTGCGCTGTATGATCATGGAGGAGCTCGAAAATGCGCTCGCGCAGCAGGTACCGCTTACTATACATATACACTATAGAATCATCCTGTATATGATGGTTTAGATCAGGGCTGTCCAAACTGTATTGGACCCAGGGCCAATAAAGTTTGACTAATTATGTACATTGGTGGGCCGCAAAATATTTATAAAAAAACCGGTGATAATAATATCGTTATCATTACCAGTATTTGCTCATTAAAGTATTTAAACAAAGAAGATTATAAAGTTTTTTTTTTTTTTTTATTGTATCTATTAAAGTAAGTTTTGGACTAAGATCTAAACATTATGTAACCCATGTTGAGTTAGCCTGTAAGTGATGTTATAATGTAGTTATAAGTTTGTGTATCGCGTTAGCTTGCTATTAAATAAAATAAAATAAAAATCCAAACGCGGGCCACGGTTTGGACAGCCCTGGTTTAGATCATTGAACGAGTACCATAAGTCATCTAGTATAAGATAGCTTTAAAGCGAGTAAGCGTTAATAATTGACGTCAGTTCGGGCTGGGCGGGTGCGCGCAGGCGCCGCCGCCGCCGCAGGACGACCCGTCGCTGTTCGAGCTGCCGCCGCTCATCATAGACGGGATCCCCACGCCCGTCGAGAAGATGACGCAGGCGCAGCTGAGGGCCTTCATACCGCTCATGCTCAAGTACTCCATGGGTGAGTGACACATACACACACACACGCACACACACACACACACACACACACACACACACACACATACAAGCTCTAGAATAAAGAGATAAGTTGCAGATCACATCACAATAAAATTATCAGTCAATTAGTTTTTGCATCAAAGAGAAATTGCAACATGTATACAAAAATGTACCCTAAATTCTGTTTCCTAAGCTTTTTTTTCTAGTAATAAGGCTACATTCTAGTATTATTACATTTATTATATCTCTGTTGGTAGTCAGTGACGTCACAGTCATGTAGCTCTAGTACCAATTGTGATGTATGAATCCTGTCTCTTAGTCCGCGGTAAGCCGGGCTGGGGCCGGGAGTCGACGCGGCCGCCGTGGTGGCCCAAAGACCTGCCCTGGGCTAACGTAAGGATGGACGCGCGCTCCGAGGATGAAAAACAAAAGGTATGAGGTTAAACCATTGTTCATGGACAAATTTAATTAAACACATAAGAAAAAAAATACCTTTAAGAACGTATAATGTTGTAATGATGGTGTGTGTACAGATGTCGTGGACGCACGCGCTGCGGCAGATCGTGATCAACTGTTACAAGTACCACGGACGAGGACCTGCCTTCACCGAAAACGACAAAGGTATGCTACTTGTATTAATAACATAACTAAATTCAATACTAACCTAAGGTGGAATGCGAATTATAAGAGCGTACTACAGCCACGGGCAAAAGTATTAACCATTGTTCAGTGTAAATAAAACTGCATTTATGACAAATAATTAAATTCTTTTGACAAAAAAGAAACAAAAAAAATAGCTTGCTTTAAGAACGTATAATGTTCTAATGATGGTGTGTGTACAGATGTCGTGGACGCACGCGCTGCGGCAGATCGTGATCAACTGTTACAAGTACCACGGACGACGCTGTTCAGCACTAAGTTCAGATTTTTTTCGGCATGATTAACACGTTAAATGTTAGTCTTTAGAATTGTGATAGGAGGACCCTGCCCACCATGCTTAACAGTGGGAACCACACATTCTGGGTTGTATTCTTCGCCAACCCTTTGCCTAACATAAGTCACACCGGGTGTTCCAAACACCTATGCCAAACGAAAAAAAACACATTTATTTTCAAAGTTATTATTTTTCTTGGAGCCTTCACCGAGGACGACGACGACAAGCAGGCGCCGCAGACTGTACGGACACCACACACATATATAACTATAGCTACTTGTATTAATAACATAACTAAATTCAATACTAACCTAAGGTGGAATGCGAATTATAAGAGCGTACTATAACCTAATATAAGTGTGACTAACAAAATCCTTCCCCTCACGCTGCCTCCCGTGGATGTGTTTGGTGACGTCATCAGTCGTCGTCGTGTGCTAGCGGCAGCACTAGTCGCTCGCAGCCGGCCGTGCTCGCCTCGCAGCAAGTCTGCATCGACCAGATGACGCTGGCCGATGTCGATGTGCGATAACACACATACATACACACACACAGACACACACACATACTAGTATATTGAAATATACATAGGTCTAATATCGTCATTATCAACAGCGAAGTATTCGCGAGAAATTTATAATATATACATACATACATACATACACACAAAACATAACCGTCTTAGAATGTATAGAAAAATCTATGCTACCTCAACTAATTATAACTGTTTAATGTGTAGCAATATGTTGTATTATATATGATTGTTCTGACCGCCAGATGTCCCAGTACGCGCCGGCCATGCTGCAGACGATCACCAACCCTGACGGGACCGTGTCTCTCATACAAGTGGACCCTAACAGTCCTATCATAACCTTGCCTGATGGTACCACCGCTCAAGTGGTGAGATATAACGTTTAACATCTTTGTACGACTTGATGTTCAGTTATAATATATAATGTATACTAAAATAAGATATGAGAGTCAATTGGCAGCGCCATCTTGTAAGAATAAACTAAGATCGTTTTGTTAAGGAAGTAATGAAAGTTTTAAATAAATTATTCTAATGTTTAAGCTTTAAGTTTCATCAAAGTCTGTATAATACTGTTCAAATGACTAAATAACAAACATTCATATATGAATTCACTGACTTCCACATTTATATTTTCCTTTATATAATATCAAGGTAAGAGTAAGTTTAACGTAATTTCCCTTTCTAACGTACATATCTTTCTAATATATATATATGTATGTATGTTTCCAGATCCACAGCGGGTCCGAGGGTGCAGCCAGTGTGGTGCAGGCTCTGGAGGGCGAGGGCGCGGTCGCTGTGGACCTGAACGCTGTGGCGGAGGCCACGCTCAACCACGACGGACAGATTATACTCACTGGGGAGGATGGACACGGTACATATCCCTACTAATATTATAGATGCGAAAGTAACTGTTTGTATGTTACGCTTTCACGCCTAAACCACTGAACTGATTTTATAGAAATTTGGTACAGAGATAGAGTTGCTTGAGAAAGAACATAGGATAGTTTTTATCCCAGACTTTTGATAGGTTCTCTTGGAAACACGATATAACCGACCTCCACGCGGGCGAAGCTGCGGGTGGAAAGCTAGTATATACAAAAAAAAAAATGTTACTTTGATTATATACTATACATGTGTGTCCAGTTTTATCTTCATAGATAAATTATCATAGAAAGGTGGTAGAGCATATCTGTAGTCAAGTTACTACAGCTTGAAAATAGGCTGGCTCGAACAGGGAAGTACCACCCCTTGCAGAAAATCATCGTGAAGTAGTCGCGTTTCGTTACCTTTTCCCTACTCCCACCCTTTCTCACAATTTCCCTATTCCCACCCTTTCCTTTTCCTCCACAATCAAGGTTGTCAACGCTTGGACGACAGTCACTACTGCCCATCAAGTAGACCACCTGCTCGTTTACCACTTTTGACATAAAAAAAAAAGAAATTTATTCAAGAACTTCATTCATAACATAATTTCTACACAGATAGCTGAATAGGAAACTTATAAAAATGATAAATTACTTCTCTGTTAGGATTTAATATTGAATTATTTTACTATCTACCATCAGGTGCAATCATAGTCAACTAGTTAACAGTTTGCCTATATTCTAATATGATTTCTTAGTATTTAGACACCACTGACATACGGTGAAGGAAAACATAGTGAGGAAATCTGGACTTATAGTTTCACATGTATAAGTTTGAAATCACCAACCTGTGTTGAGCAAGTGTGGTGATTAATGCTCAAACCTTCTCCATGTGAGAAAGAGATCCTGCTCAGCAGTGGGCTCTGATAGGCTGATGACAACGACTATCAAGTAGAATCATAGTCGACTAGTAGCCAGTTGGCCTATATTCTAATATTATATATATGTATTGTGATTTCAAGTTATGTTTGTTTGTTATCCAGGTTACCCGGTGTCAGTGTCGGGTGTGATCACAGTGCCCGTGTCAGCGTCCGTGTACCAGTCGATGGTGGCCTCGATGCAGCAGCAGGACGGAGTGTGTGTCACACCGCTAGTACAGGTCAACAGAACAGACAGATTTACTACACTCAAGATTGAGATCGAATAACATTATATACTTACTATTAAGTAGTATATTATACTAGTGCTATTCAGTATAATGCATAATTTTGGAGTATATTTTTTAACATTAAAGAAATGTTAAGCTAATTTTTGAATTAGAATTCATATTGTTAAAAATAGAATTCATATGCAACTTTTAGTATGAAAGGCAATATTCCTTTCTCTTCTATATGACGTGTTTAATGTTTGTCCCATGTCCGCACCTATTACGCAAAACTATTTTCTGCTCTAACATTATATTTATTTTTAAATATAATATATTCAGATCTCGATCTTAATTTGTTTGTAGACTGAAGCTAGTCGCTATATAAAAATATAAGTACATGCAGGCTACACAGGCTGTTTAATAAGAAACTGGTGCCAAAATATTAATTAAAATATATTATAACAGAGAGTTATATATTTATAGAACTGTTATTTTAGTTGTGTTAAAATAATATATAATGAATACCAAAAGATAAAAATAAAATTATCTATGTATATACATATATTGATATATTTGAATTTTAATAATAATGTTTGTAGACCAAAGATTTTGTTTTTAAATACATAGTTGCCATAATTATTTGTTGCATGAAATTGTTAGTTGCTGTAATCTTTTATTGTGACTGCACTGTTTTTATTTTTTATTTCACTTCATAATGTTTGCTTGCGTTTTGTTTTAATGTAGATTTTTTTTTTATGCTTAAAATTTGTGAGACTGTGATTAATATCAGAATGCTGTAATATAAAGTTTTATAATATATGGAAGTATTTAAAATTAGGTTTAAATAAATTTTAGATTTATTAAAGAAGATAATTTATATTGAAGATTACATAGTTTTGTGTTCCTACATATTGACACTAATATTTTAGTTCAAAACTATATTTTTATATATTAATAGATGAATAATTATCACTACAAGTGAAATTATAATGTACAGATTATTAAATAATCTGCATAGTCAATGTAAAGTGCATTATTAAACTTTAATATGTAGGTAATGAAACAGTATTTGATCTACATTAGTGGTTGTCCTGATCACATTTTATGCAAGTTCTATAAGCTATATGTATATTTGTTTTAATTTAAGTAGACGAATTTTATTTATGTTGTGTTGTTTTGTGTTCGATACTGTTAGTCTTTAAAGTTTTATGTGCGAGATATACAGGGTGTTCAATTAATTTGTTTGAAAACCATACCATATTGCATTCAACCAGAAAGTTTTTCCAAGTTGAATGGCGATGATTCGACTAAAACTGTTTTAAAAGATTACTATAGTATAAAAAAATCCTTAGAGTAATTACCTCTAGTTTAAACTCGCACATAAAATTTTACGAGCCTAAGATATGCTATTTTTTGTTATGTTATGCTCAAGGTAATAAAACAAATGACCGTAGTGCTTGTTTTATTTTGTCATTGTCTGTCCGTCTTCATCATACTGGCTGAGGTGTGTATATTTTTTTTGCCCATTTTTGTGTTCCTAGTGTTAATTTGTTGTATTTTTGCTAATATATTGATTTTGTATGTAATGTTTTATCATTTGGTAGTTTGCTTTTAGTAATATATTCAAATATCGCTTAAAATACAGATTGGATTACTCAAAAATATGTAATGAAAATATTGTAAAAAAAACACAGACTTCGTGATAAAGTATTTAACTAGTTGCATTGTTCCACTACATACTAGTTACAATATATGTATGTATGTATGTATAGTTATACAATATATGTATATGTTTTCCAGGTGGAGCAAGGTGGCGAGACGCTGGAGGCTCTATCAATGGGCGGAGGAGTAGCCCAGGTTGTGTTACAGGGAGGGGAGCAGGTTTTGCAGGTGTTGAGTCTCAAGGATGCATCCGTGCTCACCAAGGCCATGGTACAGATACTATGAAATGTCCATGAATTGTCTTTATTTCCTGAATAGATCATTTATTTCTCTGTCAATCTAGGTTTTTTCTATAAATGTATAAGGGGCCGTTCAAGTATTACGTAAGCACTATGGAGGGGCGGGGGTGTCTTCGCTTTGCTTATTTTGGATGATATGGGGGGTAGGGGACTCTAGATGATGATTAAGTCATCGGTAGTTATTTACTATTTTATCAACACATCGAGAAGATCCATAAAAAATTATAATTATATTTTTTTTTATGGAATTATATAAAAAAAACAATACAGTAATTGAAAATGTTTACGTAAGCTTGGGGGGAGGGGGTAAGAGCTTTGCTTACTTTTGCTGACAAGGAGGATGGGGGGGTAAATATTTGTAATAAATCTGCTTACGTAATACTTGCACGGCCCCTAATTCAATTTGATTAATTAACTTCGAATTGGCTGAAGATCCCTTAAAGACAATACGATGGCTGCTTTGGCATTATAAACGCTTCATAATAGCTACAAGCTGTTATTTATTATTGTATATTATGATATAGCAAGTAAAGTCGGAGCGTGATGCGGTGGTGGCGGACTCCTAGCTGCTAACTCTGGTGGCGCACGACCACCAACAACAACAACAAATGATGGAGCAAGACGAACAGGAGATGGAACAACACGAGGAGGAGACGTAGCTCAATAAACAACAGACGGACTGTGAAGTGAAGGACTATATGTAGCGCGTGGACTATGACGAATATATGAACTAACACTATGAAATATAGAAAGTCAATGTTGAATGTTCTATACGTACATACTAAAAAGTATTTTAATCTTTAAATAGGGCGTCGTTTAAATTTGACGGAGCAGTGTTTGACAGGAACATTTTAATATGTCGCCCGTAATGTCACACGTTGGGATGTCACTAGTCTAAATGTCGACAGTTTTATATGTACACTAGTGACACGGCGTTGTTATAGAATAATTATGAACCCCGTGTCTCGGGTAGTTGTAGTATTAAGTTGTTCTACCATAGCTAAATGTATGGCTTAACTGTTGGTAATGTAGCGATCATTGAAATATAATAATCAAAAAAAAAAAATAACCGAGAGCCACGAGTTTTAAACTCGCATCATATACACAAGTCAGTGTAAATAACGCCATTTACAAGCTATTCGATGATATTGTAAACTAAAATATACAAAAGTGTTTAATTAATTATTAATATATAACGTCTGGTTTACGAACGTAAGTTATAATAAATTATATAAGTGAAGGTGTAATTTATGAGTGAGAATTCGCGCTGACAGTGACATTATTTTCTATGATACTTTCGCCTGTACTTTATTACTGGCGTTTATCACGGTCACTGGCAGTGTGTTGTGTTTGAAGTGTTCTTTCCGATGTATTTTAAAGTCATTTGTAGTACCTTTATAATATTGATGAAACTACGGAAGCCATGAGATGGAACTAACTTATTATTCATGTCTTAGATCTAATTCTATAATCAGCTAAATATACTTTGCAATGAATATTTATTTTTTACCCTTAGGTTTGTGCAATATTTTTACGAACGCGTTTATTTATTTCTATTTATTTGCTGGTCGCAGCATTTTTATTTCCTATTTAAAGTTAGTGCATTAATTATGTACACATGACATTCCTTTGAACAGTTTTATTTAAGCTTATTGTTAAGTGATTTGTTGTTTAATTTATTTAGTTATTGTTTGTTAGTAACGTTAACTCTAGTCTACCGCCAGTCATTAGGGAAACGATCTAGTCTACTAAAGATGTACAAATCTTTATAATAATTGAATTCTGTAATATACTTATCTAGATGAATTAGTATTATGGATGTATCGGGAGTTATAGGGAGGAAGTGCTCAGGGTGACGACTCTACTATCGATGTTAAATGTGGTTATCAAATGTTAGCAATATCGAACTATGCTTGCAGGAGTAGAAGTTTCATGTGATTAAACCTACATTTTGAGGTTTAAAGTCAACTATTATAAAATTTACCTACCATTATAGTCAAAACTAGCTTAAGATTAGAAATCATAGAAGAGTACAAAGCTGTATGTATATTTTAAATGTAAATTATTTAATTTATTCAAAAGACAACGGAATGTATCCAATGTTTTTGTTTTTTATTTGCAAATTTTATTTATTTATTTATTTTCTTTTAAATACCAAAGAAATGATTGTGTTTTGTCCTTATTATTATTAGTAATGAGTAAAGCACAATTTTGTTGTTAAGTACAATGATTTGTGAATGTAAATAAATGGTATGACTGTGTGAATATTGCAATCATTAAAAATAAAAGTATTTACGTACAGAGCAGTACTTTTTTTTGACCATCAGCCATGTTTTCATCATAAAATCATACAAAAATAAGTTTTTTTTCTTGTATTTGTTCAAATAAATATATTGAAATCACATCATAAGAAAAATAATAACTAGGTAGATATTGTTTTTTTTTTTCAAGAATCTTGTCTTATGTTACCTAGAATTCTTAAATCATCAAAATGAATTTAATTCTTATAATAATGGTTATTTTGTGACCCAATTCATTTTAATATACCTAGCCTGACTAATCTAATCAAAAATTATATTTTTATTAGATAATGAGTGATAATTTAAAAGATGAAGCATCATCAGGTACCCCATGAAGTCACAATATTATAGAATCCACTATTTATTCTAGACTATCACCATGCCACACAGATGATCATTTCATGAAATCTGTTTTTTGAGAGTTCTTTTCCAGTCACTTTTTCAATTTACACTTTAATCTCTATACTTCAAAAATTTTCACTACAAATGAAATAAATCAATACAATTTCCAGTGATGTTTACATTAGACTTTATTTTTAAAAACAAACCAGATTGTGTATGGTATACTCAAACTCAAATTGTGTTCACAGTTTTATTAAATTAAAGTATCAACTATAATAATAATTCCTCTACGGCTCCGGTAGCAATCAACTTCTCACATGTCGTAAACATTTTCTAAAGCTAATTCAGGTTTGTCGTATCCCAGTTCCTCGGGAGTATCAATGCCGAGCTCAATGAGGGTCGGCTTAATCTCTTGAAGGATGTAAGGATAGATCTCATTCAGTTTGGGTCCGCACTTGTCCTTGCATGATTCAAGAAATCTGACTGCGAGGGCGTAGTCATTGACCCTTCTGCAGGCGTACATAGCGGCGTTAATGATCTTCGGGTCTGGCACCAGGTCCATACCAGCCAGGTCATTCATTCCCTTACGAATTTCCCAGCCATCGATGTCCTTCCTGTTGAAGAATGCTTCGTATCTGAAATGAAAAATAAATTAGTTAGCATTAAGTAGTAACTTTCTTACTCGAATTTTGAATAATTACCAGCTGTTCTTTTAAAATAAATTTCGTTAAAAATATTTAAACTGACATAAAACAAGTATTTTTACATGAGACAAAATTAATAGATGTTAAAAAGTCAACATTTATTTTGACAATTGAATGGAAGTCTGTATCAAGAAAAATAGAAATAATACATTTTAAACGTTCCACCGGGTCGACAAACCTTTTTAATATACTTACATACCAATTATATACAAAAAAAGATTAGAATTTTAGTTACATAACGTAAAAACTAACCTGCAATCGAATTCTTCATCAGATTCAACGGGACCGCCGTGAGACAGCCTCGAAGGCAGAACGGAGCCCACCCTAGTAGCTGGTACCAAGGATTTTTTGAAAACTTTAACAAGGCTGCTTGAAGCCGACCTCAACATTTTGATATTGCGAACTTTCGAGGATTACAGTACGAATAACAAATGGCTGCTGAAAACCACAGACTAATGATTTTTTACTTAGTACATTGCCAGTGCAACTTCAAATTTGACAAGATATATAAAAAAAAATTGATTGTATGTAATCTTAATGAGATCTAAGATTTTCGCGAGTACACATTTAAATGAAACTAATATTTTATGATTTTACTTCGCGTTTTATTTTCGATTAGAAACTACATACTCCCGACGTTTCGGCTACTTTTCAGCAACCGTGATCACGGGCAGACGAGATGTAGTTTCTAATCAAAAATAAAACGCGAAGTAAAATCCGAAAATATTAGTTTCATTTGTATGTAATCTTTTTGTAACTTCCTACGGTAATATGTTCTCCCTTATTTTTTATTATACTTTTTCCTTGTAAATTATGAATTCATAAAACAGTAAAAAGTTTCTAATGCTCTTTTTATTTTATGTACAAAATAATTTTGATATTAAATTCTTCGAATACGAAAAATAATTATCGAAAGGTAATGGGTACACAAGTAAAACAATTCCTTGATATTAATTATTATCGGGATGGCTATATTAACTTTATTACTCGATTTCTGCTTTTTTTAATAGAACAATATCGGAAATTTAATTTTTTCTGTAATGGATTAAGCAAAACAAATTTCGCTCGTGAACTTTAGGTCAACAGAATTCATAGCTATGTTAAGTATTTTTAATAAATGCTTATAAAGGAATGCTTCAGTTGCTGAAAAAAACTAAAACAAAATATAGAGCTAATTCGCAAATTTAGTTAATATTGACTTACAGACTCAACAAAATAACTGTAATATTGTCATATAACGTACATTACTAAAATCTATTTAAACGTGAAGGATGTTAAATACATCAAAAAATCTTTTTTCAGATTTTCAATTTAAAAAGTACCTAATCTTTTGATCTGGTTGAAGTGCCGTTACAAAAATATCGAATATATAATAATAGATCTTTAACTCTAGTCAGGAATGTTTTTTGTTAAAACGTGATGAAGTAATTCTATAACTTAGTCACACTTTAATTTCAACTTTATAAATGTCTGTTAAAGGTTTATAAAAAAATATATATATAAAAATTAATCAAATATTTGCATTTGAGTTAACAATTTCCATTTAAGAATTTTAGTTTTTGCTGTAATGTACGTTATAGCCACATCTGAACTCCTCGATTTTATATAAAAAAACCAAATACTTTTTAAAACCTATGGTTTTAAACTCAATGTGTTCTAGCAGTAGTATAAGAAGCAATAATAATATAAATAAAGTAAACGATAATACAAGTCCTCTTTAATTGAATCACTCTAAACTCATCTAAAAATTTGCTGGTAAAAATACAATAAAACTACAACTAATAATATTGATATTTAGTTTGGTCCTATAACAAAAAGATATTTCATTTATTTGACAATAAACAAAGTTAAATAAATCCGTTAGATCTAATAATACAGAAATTAAATTTGGCTTACAAATAGATACCCTATCTCTTGGTGCTTTGAATTAATACATAGTTATGATGTTATGTTTAAAGTTTCCTTTTTCTCTTCTTCTTATGGGCAGTGATGCTTTCCTGGCCGCTGTCTTCTTCACTCGAACTATCGGACGAGCTACTGTCACTGTCGCTACTTGAAGAACTGCTATTGGATGAACTATCAGAGGCCACACCAGTACTCTGACTAAGATCCATTCCGCTCGCAACCTTATACAGCTCCGGTTCTTTGGCCTCGAGCACTTTGATCCATTTCTTTGATAACTTAGGACGTCCTCTAACAGTCTTGTGCCACACAACGGGGAAGTTAGTGCGGCTACAGAAGTTCTGAGTGACGGCCACCGTGTCATCCAAGTTGAGAACCACATGCCACCAACCTCCGGGAACAAATACTGTCTCACCTGGCTTCTGAAGTATCTCAACCTGAAAGAGTTTATAGATTTTAGTTCAAGTTGATTGGTATTAAGAAAACAAGATGAGATTTTAACAATATATAAGAAAATAATAAAAAATCTAATGATATCTAAGATTCTTGAGTGGTTACAAATGAAACTAAGCTTTACAGATACCACCACTTTATATAGTCATTTTGTCTTGTTGAATGAGACTAACTGGCAGAGACATTCATCTTGTGAGCTTATAATCATGGTTTATGTAAAGTAACCGATACATAGGGATTATAGTTACAAAATAATAAAAAATGCATGGTATCCAAAAAGTTTAGTTCCATTTAAATTAAAATGAATCATATTACTGGTTGATACTCCTTGGGCCATGTGTCTAGTTGTGTTTTAGGGTATATAAGCTTAAACCAAGTAATAGCTTCGTCTCTCTGTTTTCCTCCCATAGCACCAGTTACTTTGATCATTTCTCTTGGAGTGTGAGTTGGGAACAGGCACCATCTCTTATGTCCAAAGACGAGAGCATTCCACGCACTAGTTCCGAGTGGGTCAATATGAATGCCGGTCCCCGATCTTTGGGGACCCATAACAAACCATCTATATGGCGGTCTCCTCTCTTCACCGCAATATTTAAACAAATCATCTGTAAAGTATTTAGGTACTTCATAGTCTTCCAGAAGTTTCTTTCTTCTTGGATGCTCTCCAAAACTACTATCAAAAATATAAAGTGGGACTATCGTCAGTGGTCGTCCTCATATACTCTATGTAATACTTCATTTTCATTTTAACACTATAGCCTTCATTGTCCTCTCCACATTTGAACTTTTGGTTCCGATACTTTTTGGCAAGTCTGTCCTGAGTCCATTTGTGATTGGCTTTCCAATTTGTTTGTGTGTGCGTGATAACAACGGGCTTGTAAATTTTTTCATACTTGTCTATAAAATCTTTTTCACTGAATTCGTTCGCGTTAATTCTATCCACGTTATCTTTACATTTTAAAAATTCCTCAAAGTTATTGGCATACTTTAAGGCTGTCCATTGGTGTTTATCAGCTAGTTCTGAAATGTAGGACGTAGAAGATTTAAAAACAATTTCGAATAATACGTTTTATCCAAAATAAGTCGAAAATGAGAAAAGGTGTAACTTGCTCTAACTTAGAGGTCACGGCAAACGTTAAATCTCTCACGTAGGAACATCTTTCTAGAACAATATGCTTCGGGTATAAAATTAAAAGTCTATAAGATCCCATAAAATAAGTGTATACCGATTTTTGATAGAAGTTTGTTGTAAATACTTTCGATCTTACAGGTAATAAGTAAGTTGTAATGTAAAAAGAACATGCATTTCAACAAAATATTCAAACTTCCCGTGTATTAACTTACCGGGTCTGGCCTTTCTTTTAACTTCTTTAATTCGCTTTTTTGTTTTATGCGATAGTTTATATTCAGTTTCCATTGCTTAAGGTTAGAAAAATATAAAATGTAATAAATATGCCCTTGCTGCTTTCCCGGTTGACTAGTTTTGACTCTTTTTATATTCTGACATTACGAACTTACGAAATCAGATACAAGTATCAAGTAATTAATAATATATAAATTATAATAATTTATATTGATACAAATTATTTGTTTTTAACATAAAGATTTTTATATTTTACTTAAATATTAAAATTAAACTAAATTTAAATAAGAGTTTCTACAAACATAGGTATAATCTCTTTAAATCTTTTCATAAAATAATTAAAATTTATAAATAATTACACATTAAATTTATAAAGTCAATAAAGTGCCTTTTAGGAATTATTTTAAATTCAATTTATTTTGCAATCATTTTGATATGAAAATAATTGGAGATTCCAATATGGCAACCTCATTTTGAACTGTGAGAGATCGGTGATACGACTAAACATTATAGAATTTCTTTTAACAGCTGAAAAAATATTAATAATCATACATTCTTATCTTTTTAGTTAAGTTAGATTTTATAGTTATATAGTTTAATATATTTCTTGTAATTTAAAATGAAAAGTGTTTAATTTGACTATTGTACCGAAACAAATTTGAAACGTTCCAGTCTGAAGTGTGTAGCTAGCTCGATATAACTGTCAATTTGGGTGTAGAAATTTATTTGTAATTTTCACCGGTTCTTATGTGCAATTTCCGAATGTGTTAAACTATTTTTAACCATTGTTCCTTGCGAAATAATGTTATTTAGTGTATGTAGTGTATAAAATTGTGCAAAAATGGATGACGGTTCTGTAAAAATCCAGTCCGGGATCAACATCAACATTAAAAGAACAGATGGTGAGTTCGATCAAAATTCGTATTCTTTATAAACTGTTTCGTAGCCAAGTTCGTTGTGACTGGTGCTAACGTATAATAGTTTTTGAATTTAGCATCGTCAGGCTTGTTTAGTTAACGGAATGAATCATGTCGATACATGCTCGATTCACAGTGACATACTTGATAAACTGCAGCACTTGCAAGACATTGTGTTTACGTGTTCTATTACTTGATAGGGAAAAAAATATTTAAAATCATACTGGCCTTACAGAACGCACAATTAATTTTTTCTAAATTTTTATGATAAAAAATTAGTACAAACCATATTTTGTTTATGAATATTGAAAGTAAGAAGAAAATTGGTTGCCTTCACTTGAAGTTAGGTTCAAGCTTGAATCCTTTGAACACAATGTAAGTCTTGGTATATTTATACATATGGGCACATGCCAAAGATGTTAAACTGTTTCAAAATCAGAGTTCAGTTGAAATTTTGTATTTATTAAAAAAAAGTATCATACATAGGCAGAATATCTCTAAATTGCTTTTGTTTTTTAAATATTAAAAGTGAGATGGTCCATAAAGGCTTAATTTTTATTTAATGTATGTTGTAATACAGACATTATAAATTTTCTAATAAGGTTACAGAGGTAGCAGTGGAATTTTAACATTCTTGGATATTAATTATTTTTTAAACACTTTCTTATTACAATCATATCATAATAAGTTTAACTAACATAATATTCAAAGATTAAATTTTATTTTATTATATATTTTTGTTGTATACACATATTGTTTTAAACTTTAACATATAAATAATCATGCATAAGTATCAGATTAATGTGTGGACTAAATAATTTTATTAGAATTTGTCTTCATGTGCACTAACTGAATGTTTACAGTCAGAAGGAAACGGATAATTTAATAGCTATTTGTATTATTAGATTTAGTAATCATGACTCACATCTGAACTGAAGACATTGCACTGTAACAAAATATTAATATTAATATTTAAGTGTATTAAAAAAAATGATATTTAATAGCTGTTCATCATCTCATTCATTCATTCTTCAATCATTCATGATATTTGTATATGTGGTCATAAATTCATATAAATTTCAGTGAAATGAAATACATATACATTCTCTTTATTTAAAATGTTATACATTATACATGATCATTATTTTGCAACATAATTTGATCAAGATTTGTATGATTAATTAAAATTAAATGTATTTTTAAGAGGACATAGAATTTAATGGGATTTTTAGTACAATAATTTTGTGATATCTTCATACATTTGTTATAAGTTGTGTATTCAAACTAGTAGTGTGATGGCGCCCGGCCTTGCATGCCATATTTGGTGAGTTTGTCGCGGTCGAGCGACACTCGGCCGCAGGTTGACGAAACAACTTGCCGGTTATGGGATCGACTTGATGCTTTTTGGATAATATTTTTGGTTAATTTTATATGGTGCTTGTATCGTAATCGGTTTTTTTGCAAGGTCCCGTTATGTCACAATGTTGAATGTCCGTTAATATCGCGTAGGTATATTACTAATTAAACATTTAATTATGTTCAAACATTTTATTTAAATATTCTAAACAATGAGATATAGTTGGCACTTAAGAATCCGTTGTATTTCGACTGTGTTTAATTTATAACTATACTTACTATGAAGTCAGGATACAAACGAGTAGATCGCGTCAAAAGCGATTGTTGAAATTGTGATCTTTATTAATAAGCGGCCCAACAAACGCTTTGCAACAGGAAGATGTGTCACCTGAAATATGTTTACTATGATATGATAATTTTATACTAAACACTATATCTGAGTCGAAATACTTTTCATATTTACACGCTATGAAAACAGTTGAAGTCGATGACGAAGTGCAGTTCCTTGTATATATTTTTGTATGGTTCAAGAACTATTCATACAGAGATCGTCAAATCCGCGACTTAATCCATTGTAGCACTGAAGGTTGCTAGTTTACATCGATCCAAAGAAAATAACCATTCCATACAAGTCAAACAAATACCGCAACGAGATATTACAGTTGTTACGATTTTTGCTACCATAAAATTAACTGATTGACGAAAATATATAAATTAATATAAGTGTAAATAATACTATTTATACTGATTTTAATCTGGCATAATTTTGATTTCGTCATCATCTGATTTATAAATGATATCAGTGGTTAATAAAGTTGTACGTACAAGATTAGATCGTGTTATATACACATATTAATATAAATTAAAGGATACATATTATATTACTTCTCTAATTTGTATTGTTGCAATTGACGTAATATCGACAGCATCGAAAGAATTCTGGACCAAAATATATTTAATTGGGTTTTCCCTGCGAATTTGTCTACTAAAACATTGCAATTGAGCTCAAAGAATAATGTATAGTGTGTTAAAGGCAATCTACCGATACCGACATCTGTAGTCTTTATCGTAGTACTTTATACACACTACAACTGTTATGCCGTAACCCCGCCGAAAATACATGGAATTGTGGGATAACTTATATCCTATGTCTTATTTTAATGTCTTAGTAACATTGCTGTAAAGTTTCATCAAAATTAGTCGAGTAGTTTTTGCGTGACAGAGCAACAAACATCCATACACTCTTACAGACTTTCGCATTAATAATGTTAGTAGGATTCGTTTATCTCAAGGTACAAAAACCCGTCTATAATCAGTTCGTCATCTCGAGCTCGACTCTTTTCCCTTTTGTTACACAGGTTAACGGACTATGCGGTCATAAAATTTAATTTCATTCAAGGTCATATAGATTCTTACCATAATAAAAGGTCTATTGAAAAACTACCCTATATATATTGCACCACAATTCTATAGATTCTTCATTTTGCTGAAGCATTATTATCAAGCAAATTATTTTTCATTGGAGCTTAAACGTCATCGCTGAAAAGATATTTTGCAACAAAGCCGTCTGCATCGTTAAAGTGTAGCCAGCCCTGCTTTTCTTCATGTAAATCGATCTTTTGTCTGACGGAGGTGAACTCCAGGTCATAGGTCAGGTGTTGTTCCGGTGATAGGAACGAGCTGGTATAAAGACTGAGTCACTATTTCTACATAAACATACTCAAATACTCATATTTGAATACTTTCAGTTATAATTTATTTTTGTCATACGTTATTCTCACTACGTATCGATTAAATGAGTAAAAATAGCTATGAGTGCTATTATTATTTGACCCATAAATTGTTTGTAAATCAGCAGATTAATAGATTTAATTGGTCTCATTATCTGTTAGTAATTCAACGAGATTATAAGATGCGTGTGTGTGATGAAGCCTTCTAAGACTATATTAACTCGGAGGAAATAAATCTGACCTGTGTTCTCATATAACAGTGTTTATTTTTTATGTAATTTTTAATGTTAATGTAAGTTCATATTTGTGATGGTATTAGTTACTTCCTCGTCCGCCCAGCCTCGTGGCTTCGCCTACTACAATCTCAAGGTTACGTCGCCCACCAGATCCCTTCGTTTTTACTATGAGCTTAGATTTATAAAAAATATCATAAAATTTCTATCGTAGTTTTTATGATTAAATGATAGCTAATAAATATTTAACGCCATTTCTAAGCTGTTCATTGCTGTTCCGATGTTGGGCATGTTATTAATAGATATTATATCGTCATTCGGACCCCGAGCCGGTAACGTCACGATTGTAGCGGTGTCTATGTAACATGACACACGAGCCACGAGCTACACGACCCGGCCTGTGTCGTGTCGTGTGCGTGTCGTGAGTCGTGTCGGACGGTCGGTTAGCGAGCGTTCAACTGACAAAGGCAATACGAAGCGTCAAGCGCGTGAGTCACCGAGCGGCGTCCCTCGGACAACGGCAATGTTGGAGGGGGGGGGGGGGCAGGTTTAAATGTGTTATTGACTTTAATGAATACACGTAATAGAATTGAACAAATCATAATAATATGAAACCAATAATATTAACGAAGTTTTTACTATAGCGAATAATTTAATATCAGGTGATTTTTACATTACATCGAACAATTGTACCGAGCGCGTTATTTATGTATTGTAAGTCTGTTGTTGTGATAACGTTGGAGAAAGGTGTCACAGAGGTTCAGCGACTACAGACGGACCACTGTCTGAACTACCGTTATAGTATAAAGTAATAAATT